TCAGGCATAAGCAATTAGGAAATAACACTTACTACCCAGGAACACATTTTTTTACACAGTGTATTCAAAGAGTTAAACGTGTAAAGGTGAGTGGTCACGCCTTCACTCGAGGGGGCTCTAGAGCACCCCGCTTGGAGGGTATTTGACCTACTCTTCCACGCAGGCCAGACACTCTCCGCACTATCTACCCCACCACACGCTGCCTGCATACCGATTCGTCGACTTAACTGCGGCGATGACCATTTACGGGACGGCGTACCGCGGGGGTGGACAGAGGCGGACGTTTTAAAGAAATCTGCGGGTCGTTGCACGTGGGTTTGTTGAACCTCGGTGTGATGATCACGCACCGCGGCAGCATCCGCGCGTCGCCTTGCGGTGATGCCGGGGAGTCGGGAAGAGCCACGTGGCTCGGTGTCGTGTCCGGCTGAAGGCAGCCACCGTTGCTAATTCGAGCCAGCCCGTGTCTGCTGACTTTGACCGCATGCTGCCACGCGTGTCTAAAGGCATCCCTCCCTCCCATGCCTGCGCCCGTTAAATGTGAAGCCTGACGTCCTGGCCACACGCCACAATGAGGGCGCTTGCACTTGAGACTGCCGCTCGGGCTGAAGCAATCACTCGGAAACAGACCCAGAACGTTCTTTTTGGTGGTTCAATGGCTGGAAAAAACAGTGTCAAATCAGTGCATATGCCTGCTATGACAAGGGTCAGACGCATGGACACATAACATGAAAGAAGGCGAAACATTACACAAGCAGGGAGAGATGCATGCTGGTGGCGACATGTTAACTACTTCGCCTGGCATACAGGAGGTCGTGGGTTCCATCCCGACACCGACGCCTGCTGCTGTATATTTGAAGCTTGCTTGTCTCTCTCCCCGTGGTCGTGTGGATTTTTCTCCGGGTTCTCCAGGCTTTTCCCTCCACATTTAGAATGAACATCACGCGTTTAGGGTGCATATTTGGCTGCTGTTATAAATGTCCACATGATAAACCCACTTCGTTGAGCTGTCATTTGTGGCCAGGTCTGGAAAAGAGCTACATAGCTCAGTGGGCCTTACCTGGTAAAATATAAGTTTTTTTTTACTTTAATTATACTGAGAGACACAAAGAGCAACACCTGAATCACAGAACAAATACAAATTAGAGACAATGTATTGGCTTAAGAGAAGTGAGTGGGCCTTGCAGGGTCCATCACTAGAAGAGATGAAGGTCTATGGGCGAGACTGGTGACGGAATGGGAGCCAGCGGAGGGGAATACGCCTCGGAGGACACTCGCCGTTCAGATGGCCCAATGGCAATAAGCTCGGCTGCATGGTTGTATGTGTGCGTATGTTGCACTCTTTCACTCCGTATGTAGCCAACCGTGGGGAAGGACAGCAAACTAAACACAAAAAGCAGTTATAAAGCAACGAGTTTGTCAATACAGATGATATAAAAGTGCGTAGCTACAGTGGCTTCATAATATCGGAAGGAAGAGCGTTCCAGACGGCCGCAGAAGCGCATATGAAAGCGCCGCGCGATGCGGTGACTGCCCTTGTTCGACGGCCGGCCAAAAGCCGCTGAAATGGGTTGTAGCTTCGCAAGATCGGGAGAGATGGCGATGGTGTAGGGAGGCCTTAATTTCATCCAGCATTGGATAGATCATGGCTGAAGATGATGATAATGGTTAAAGGCTAGAACCTATCTGCCTGTGTAGTTCAAATCGCGAGTTGTCCACAGAGTGATTGCATCATCCGTTCAGGTGCCTCTATGTTTTTGCGTGACAGCCCAAGCCAACTCGCTGTTATGTCAAAGCACACATTTACTAAGATAGCCCCGTTCCGGTTACACAACTACCACAATAGAAGGAAATGAACACAGGATATCCAAATGACCGTGGACGGTGCTATCGAGTTAGATTTATTTCGGGCCTCAAACAGACGTGGAGTCATATTCTTGGTTCTTTCGGTAAAGTCACGTAGAAGGGAAACAATAAAATAATACTTATATTGTTTTAAATTTTTATTATTGAAAAATATTGTTTTATATTTTAATTATTTTATTGTTTCCCTTCTACGTTACTTTACCGAAAGAACCAAGAATATGAATCCCTGCAGTCACGAAAGCTTTAAATCAAAATTTAGACGTGGAGTCCTCGTGGCGCCCAATAAAAATGATGAGCGCATCGATTCGTGGGCATGTTGTGTCTGATGCCAGCGACACCACAGAGGCCCTCACCCTCAATAAATGACCAAATTCTCCGGGTTACAAATAAAAAAAATTTTCACGTCATTTTGAAGCCTCGGTTAAGAGTGTGTCTTGTATTCAGTAGGTGTGTGTCTTTGTGTGTTTGATCAACGTCGCCACTAGGGAGACAAAGGCGGCCCGGCGTAGTGCTGGCAAAATCCCTGCCTCGTGTGCCGTGATAGCCTTCATAGGTGCTCGTTAACAGCACTTGCTCCAAAAGTCTGTTCAGGCGATGGGATCTTTATCTTCGTTTTGTTTGCGTCTGATTATATTTGTGTAACTTTAGTGACACTGGGCACAACGTTTTAGTGTAAAAACGAACTGCAATTATACATAGTAATTGTCAATGCATAATTTCACATGGTATTTGTATTTATTATGTTAATCCATGATAGGTTCTTAAAATCAAGATTGCATCTATATGCATATTTCAAAATAATAAGTAAAATCTATAATGTGCATTCCATCCTAGGATTCCAATGTGCAATGCATGAACAGCAGGAAACAAAAACAGAGCCAGGGGCAACCGAGCGAACGAAAGAGGCAAGGCCACTTTAAAGAGATGGGTTTTCAAAGCAGACTTAAATCTATCTACCGACTCCGATTGCCTGATTGTAAGTGTGGCAAGGCGTTCCATAGCTTTGGCGCCACGCTAACAAAAGCAGCGATCACCAAAAAGAGCGCAACCTGTAGACCTGGGAGTGCTGAGCAGTTGGAGATCAGAAGATCTTAAGGACCTTAATGGAATATACACATTAATAGTTCCTGCAAGTAATGTGGGGTGAAGCCCTTTCAATACACAAGTGTAATACAGCATAGGGGAATTATTATTCAATCTTATTTTCTCACAGGCTGCGATGGCATTATTTTGTAATAATTCCCATTGTGATTTGTATCTGCGAGTCCCTGCTTTTTTTCTTAAGAGATACATTATTTATTTTATTGTTCAGCCCTACGTCCATCCACTGCTGGGTTCAGGCTTCGCCACTTAATGTAACGCATGATGACAGTCGTTTGATCATACTTCACCACGCTGCTCAATGTCGCTTGGTGAAGGGGGGGGGGGGCTAGGGGGGTTAGGGTACCCATGAATGGTTCAGATATCACTCACAACTGATGTTAGGGTTTCCTGGACTCAAACTTAGGTCTCTGGGGTCAAGTGTAATGTGCAAATCACCGCGTCTCCGCTCCAGCAAAGAGATGCACACAATAACAAAGACACGTGGTATTGCCGACATTATCCTAAGACAACTGAAAATCGAAATCCGAAATGTTGTAATCTGTAAGTGATGTAGCCAACAGCAATAATGCATTAACTCGCTTGCTAAACTGCTGTCTTGAGTACAAAATCACATTGTTCCAGAGAAGTTGAAAGGTGTACATTATTTTATGTTCAAAGCCAAACTCCAAACTAAACGTGCATTGCAATATTCATTGATTCTTCAACTGTCTTGTTCAACAGCTAAAACAATTCTTGAACAGGGCAGGCTTCTCTTCAGCGTGCTTGGCAAGGCGAATGATCCTTGCAAGGACGTTTCCCGAAATACTGAGGAGGGAGATGCCCCTGTAGTTGTTACAGTCTGTGCGGTCCCCCTTCTTCAAGAGGGGGGTACCACCTGGGCATCCCTTCCAATCCTGCAGAACCCGCCAAGTGGTCCATGTCAGGACACTGAGTCAAAGACATTGAGAATCTGCATTCAAATCCAGGCAATCCAGGCAACATGTTTAGAATCCAGGCAACACGTTTATTTAGAAAACGAAAGCAATCCAACGCAGACATTTATTTGCGGTGGAGAAGAGTTCTTTGAAAATGAGATGAGATGGCCCGGTGGGTCAGAGGTCAAGAGTACTGAAGCAGCAATGCTGAGATTCTCGGTTAAAATCCATGCATCCACCAGTGATTATCCAGACGGTGGTGGCTATGCACGTGGCCTGTAAGCCAGCACTGTCGAGGCGAGGATTGGTGGATCACACAAATGCTGCGAAACTCCCTTCCCGTGGCCATCGAGGGGGTGCCGTCCCCTGGCTTGCCAGGGGACGGTAGTACGGTCGAAATGTGGACGGAACGTCTCTATGGGATACAGTGTGTCCCCCTCGTACCCTTCGGTTTTCTCCAGGTGCTCCGGTTTCCCCCCCACATGTAAACACTCATTAATTGAATTTCGATTTAAAGCTTTCGTGACTGCAGAGATTCATATTCTTGGTTCTTTCGGTTAAGTCACGTAGAAGGGAAATAATAAAATAATGCAAATTAAATAATAAAATAATAAATATCGATTTTGAGCTTTCGTGACTGCAGGGATTCATCTTCGTGGAAATAAAATAATAAAAATAAAACATAATAAAATAAAATTATCACGACGTTTCGGCCACAACACAAGTAGCCTTCCTCAGGTGCAGAAACATAACTGTCGGGAAGACAGCGCTAAAGAACCAAGAAGAAAAATAAAATAATAAATAATACCATTTTTTTTATTTGCATTCTTTTATTATTTCCCTTCTACGTGACTTTAACGAAATAACCAAGAATACTCATTAATTGGCCGATAACACCTTTGTATGTAGAGGACCGCAGAGCATGGGCAATCCTTGGCACCGGCTCATTGCATGGCTGCCTTCCTGTTTGCCCGTGGCTAATCCTCGCGCCCCTGAGTCGGTCTCTCTCTACGAGAGTAAGTGAATGCTGTGCACATTTGAAATTCGTATTCTTATCATCATGATTATTATTATCATTACTGAACTGGATTCTCAGTTTAGTGATGAGAGTAGATGGTCTCCGCTTGGTCACCAATGATGCGGAAAAATAAAACCGTTCTCATTCAATTTGGCTTTTAATCTCATTCGGCACATCTCAGTTATCGAGGACTGTAAGATATACAGTGCAATTGCCAGCCAAATGAACAATCCTCGATAAGAGGGCATTCGAGAAGATGCAGCATGGCCTCATGCGGATCAATGGCAATTGAAGGGACCGAAGAGATTTTTTTTTCCTGTAAAGTCATCCTCTACTGGACATCTGTGAAAAAGAGCTTTATAGCTCACCGGATTTTGCCATTAAAATCAATATTCTGATTCTGATTGCATGGAGCGTAGGCTGACCCAGGGGCGATGTTGTGACGCTGCTTCCAGTGAGAGTTTCAAGTGGAAAATGCCTCCTCTCTGGGCAAGACACCCATTCTAAAATGGGATTTTAATTGGCAAGAACAAGCCAAAAACCCCACCCAGAAAAAGGACCCCATGCAAGGATAATGCGTAAATTGCGGTGGAATGTCAGATGAACGTGTGTACCGAATTATCCAACATAATTGGTTTAACCAATCTGATTTTGAACGCCCATATAATTGTCCTGGGAATAATCGAACGCATTCAAAGTTACAATACAACAAATCTGTTTCCAGAATACCAAAGCACTCAAATGTATCGCATTAACATGCATTGAGATCATTCAAAAGAGTTCAAGGTCAAAAAGGCAGCTTTAAAATCCTCCGCAGGCAGGATATCATATCTGTGACATGCATAGACCCAGCACCACTGTCACAAGTGAAATGCCGCGTGTCAGCGAGCATTCGGAATTCTTAAAAAGACCACCGACAGCAAAGGGCAGCCGCTGGCCATCTGAGTGACCCCGCAGAGTCAATTCATTCGGCGGCAGACGCACAGAGGCAACAGCGTAGGCAAGACTTAGCGAGCAACCAAAGGAAGGCACGCACTTAAGAATAAGTAGAAGCCGGTTAAGTTTGATCTTCCGTGACATTTGATTTATTAACGGGCGAAAGTCACTGGCGTGCGTAGCATCAGCTTCCCGGTGGGGCCTCACCACGCCGCCACGCTGACGGCTGGAGGTGTCTGTTCTCGAATTCATTCGTCGCGGGCGGAGGTTCGCGGCAAGCCGCTCGCGACGCACCGCGATCGTGTGCCGCACAACGGAGCTAACGGTGGTTTCGCTTCGAACGAGAGGAGGCGCTGGGGAAAAGACGACAACAAAAAATCGTGCAAAAGGGCCGTACGGTGATCGTCCATGCTTGGTCAGTCAGAGGCAGGCTGATAATAAAATAAAACAAGCACAACGGTCAGGGCTGAAGTTCAGCAGGTCACCTCCTTCCCTTCTGCCGGTGGGGGTGAGCGCTTGAAGGATGGGAATCCCTGGAAAACATTCCACGAGAAATAAAGCCCTTGACCCACGACTATTTTGTACAAACTGTGTGTATGTTGAACCTATTTCGCACCGCTGCACGTAGCCAATCGGTGGTGCGAGGGAAGGACAAGAAACGCAGACAACGTCCCAATAAAAAGGCGTCACCTTCTGGAGGGTCGGTGGGCACTGTGCACATGCTCAAACTGCTAGCTCGGTGAGCCCTGAACACGTGTCGCCATTCGTTTTTGAGCTACAACAACAACCACCACCACCACCACTCGTTGGCACAATATCACAACCTGAGCTCAATTGCTTTTTTTTAAAAGGCATCAAAGTCATCAAGGTATCTTTATAACGCCACAAGGTCAGCGATGGTCACAACCCCACGATGGTCAAAACGACCCCCCCCCCCACCTCCCACCTCCCTTGCGATGTTTTAAATATCCACGGGGAAAGGGCTCAACTAATATTGCGGGGCTCATTTTAGAGTTTCGTGATTTTGAAATCGTTTTACTTTCAGCAACCTCCACACGGCGAGGAATCTGCTCATGTTCTGCTCGGCGCCATCATCTCTAGCGGCGGCACCACCACCACCACCGCCGCTGTCATCAGCAACGCCAGCTCCGGCGCTTTCACCGCCACCACCGCCGCCGCCGTCGTCCACTTTGTCACCACTCGGCCACTCCATGGCCACCCCGGCCTGTCCCTCGGTAACGTGTTTGCCACCGCCGCCACTGCCGCCGCTCCCGTCCTCCTCTTGCCCTCCTCCTGCTCCCTGCGGCGACAGCGCCATCGACAGCGGCGCCTCCTCCAGCTCGTCGTAGTCCCTGCGCTCGCGCGTCTCCCAATACTTGGCGACGCAGTAGAAGATCGAGCCGACCGTGTTGAGCGCCAGCCCCGAGAGGAAGAGCACCGACGGCGGCTCGGCGGCCGGGTCGCGCAGCACCAGCATCCCCACCGAGATGGTGAGCACGCTCTTGACAACCCCGACGAAGCTCGTGGTGACGGCCGAGTTAAACGCCGTGCAGGCCACGGTGGTGAGGCCGAGGAGGGCGGCCAGCGCCGCGCTGCCGAGGAAGGCCGCCACGACGGCGCCGTCGTGCCACCCGGGGAAGGCCCACACGTGGATGGCTTCCTGGCTGGCCAGCGAGTAGGCCAGCAGGAGGGGCGAGGCGCTGATGGATATCGCGTACTGGGCGGCGAGCGGGCCGCCCAAGTTGTCGGTGCACGTGCGCTGGATGAGCACCAGGAAGACGCCGTGGACGAGCACCGCGAGCACGCCCGTCGCGTAGGCCACGGGGTCGCTCGTCACGTCCCCGATGCCTGCGATAGCCGCGGGGGCAGCAGAGTGTTAGTGTTGCGTTGTGTCGGGTTGCCAGCATATGTAGGATGGACAACAACGTGCGGAAGACCTAACAGAGGATGGGCTTGACCACGACACCGAGAGAGATGTGGCACTACTTGAGCATATTGGCACCAGACAGGGGAAAATGGAAACAAATGATGAAATGTGCAGTGGGCACGTACTAGGGGGCTATCTGCCCATTGATCGTCATGAGGGTTGCCAACTCTAACTGAAACAATTCAGGGAAATTTTTACTGTCATTATAATAAATTTTCTTGAAATATCCTGTTATTAAAACCTCCCGCATTGCTTTCAAGAGTCGCCACCGGTCGATCGATGCCAATTCCGGTAGAGATTCCCGGCCGATCCAGGAGGGTTGGCAACCGTGGTATGGTTACGGTGATCATCGTGCCCATGATTAAGCGTGGAAGCTTTGCGGGTGCCCAATTCCCGACAGTCGCCCCGAAGCCAGCGGGCAACTTTTGAACCATTTTGCTGAGACCGTGAATACAATGTTTGGTAATGCAATTACTAAGGGCGGTACATGCGTGGAAACATTCAGACGGGGTAGCCCTTCGCCGTAAATTCACGCCGTCGATATCCGAGCGTGGCATTCCGGGGGCTTTTGCCACCGACCACCACCACCACCACCGTGCATTCACGTGCCCAGGACTCTTATCAATTGGCTCGTGAGCCACATAATTGAGTCCATTTGCAGTCTCCATCGAGCACGGAGCGCGCTATCGGCACAGCTGTCCTTAATCATTCGGCCGCATTTCACCGAAGCGACAGGAAATGAAACGGCATTAAAAGGCGCCTTCAATATTGACGGAGCCATTGTGGGACCACAATTGGCAGCTGCTGGCGAATGAATGACGAGCGGAGCGTGAAGAGATCGTGACTCGACTCGTCCATGCCTGACACTTTAAATTAACCTCCTATTACCCACAATTCCTCGCACGGAGGGCGTGCAAATGAGACGGTGAATCAGGGGACACCCTTTTCACTCCTGGCCGCGTCGACGATTTCTCCACCCCACCTCATCGACCCTTCGGCGACCACGGGTGGTGAAACGGCGGCACCGTGCGACGGTCTTATGAAACCGGGGAAGGAGCGATGAGTTGGGCAGGTGATTCAGGTTGTTGCACGTGCATGCAAAAAAGTGTTTGTTTTGCTGGTGCCAGTGTTAAACACCGATGTGCTCTTTAAGAGTGCCAACAGAAGCAAAATGAATATGGGGTTAAGGGTGCAGCCCTGAAATTGCTCACCCACACCGCTGGAGGGAGCGCTTGAGAAGCCCCTCTAAGAGAATATTTGGCCGACCCTTGCGTCCTGGCCTGAGGTCTTGGAAGAGGTGGGAGCACCCACACTTTGCCCCACCACGTGCGATCTGCAGATCGACTCACTGTGGCATACCCATTTATACCATAATGGGTGGACAGAGGCACTAACTATTTAACTTTTGTGTTTACCAGGTAAGGTCCACTGAGCTATATAGCCACAATGATAGCTCACCAAAGTGGCTTATCACGTGGAAATGTTTAGCAGCCAAATACTCTAAACGCGTGACGTTGTTTCGAAATGTGGAGCGGAAAACCGGAGGACCCGGAGAAAAATCCATACGATCATGGGGAGAACATGCAAACTCCAGGGTCGGAATCTAACCCACTACCTCTTGTATACCAGGCGAGGGAGTTAACATCTCATAGCCACCGCGGTACCCCAGATGGTGGTAAGGGGGTGGGGCATCTCAGAAACTTTCCCATTGTTTCAGCCGCTATGCCCGGAGGTCAAACTGAACCGGTGACCTCTGCATGAAAAGTGCAGCGTGCTGCTAACAATTACACCACTGTGGTAGCATCCATATACATTCGGGGAGAAGGGAGGGGGGGGGAGATGCCAAAATTGATTCATCATCATCGTAATCATCATATTCACCGTAATCATCGCATCATAAAAACGCCTCTCACGGGCCGGTATTATATAATGTAATAAAATGCAAAGGAGTGTGGTGAAGAATCGAGTGTGAAAGGCACAGCCAACAGCGGCGAAATTGAAAAACCCAATTACCCATGAAGGCACTGGCAGCCCGTGCTCTGTTTCCCATCTCCCAGTATTCATTCCTTGGTGCTCACGGTGCAGAGTCATTCATCCGCCTGTCACCTTTTGTTTATTCGGCGCCGGCCTTCCCTTCAGCGATATCCAAACGTGGTGTAACGCGGGCGCTTTTCACTGAACTCTTATTAAATGAACAGAAGTGTCCCTTTGGCTGCGCAGATAAGCCACCTTTTGGCATTGCTCCCGTTTCTTTAACAGCCAACGCTTTCTGCAAAGACGAGAGAGCCCGTCGCGATGTGATCAATGCGTTCAGGAGTGCCGCTCACAAACGGCACGAAGGCGCACGACTCCCATCATACCTTGCGCCCGTGTAATGTGAATACCGCATTGCATGCATGTGCAAATTCACGTCCAATGCTCTAAACTCGTTGATGACCGTGCTGTTACTGTACTATAGTGTATCTTTATTGTACCGCTGTCTATTGGGTCGAATTTCAAACTGTTTCCTTTGGTAGCCTAAATAATAATCTGGCCACATGTTGAGTTCTTCCACGTTGGTGGCTTAGGCAAGGCTGGGAGCATTGTGCATGCAATGTGGTGGTCGCATGACATGCGTGCTACTAGGCATGATTGGAGTGTGTGTCTTCCTGCTGTTTGTGAACATCACTTGTGTGATGTTAAATATAAATACTAATATCTGATGGCACTGATCTGCTTCTGCTACTTGGTGGAAATTCCACACTTCTACGACAGGGACAAGTATTTTCATCGGACAAAGGAAGGGTTCCCCGTTGTGTATTGGCCATGGTGATTGTTAGACAGTGCTTCAGCACTGGCTGGTCAGTGCGGGTTGGTGAAAGGATTATCCCAAAATTAAATTGCATGGCCCCCGATACTTTTACACACTTATCCATTCACTTTGATATGAGATTATTTGCCACATGACAGTGAAAGAGATATTGCCAAATACCAAATTCAACATGTGCATCCATCAGTGAGCAGGCAGGGACCGTCAACCCGCTTCTCCTTGTGGATCTGGCTTCTTCCAGGGTGGCTTCCCAGATTCGAACTCAGAATGTCAGCCGGTACTTGCTCAGCGCTCTGATGAATGGGCCACTTCCAAATAACTATGCAGCGTGCAGTAAACCACTGTAGTCAAGATTCATTTTGGGTTCCGTAGCATGCATTGTGAGACAAATATTTATGCAAACAAACATTACACTCAACGCACCGGCTAGCCATTTATTTTCCCCAGATATGTCCATTATCTTAAAAAATGCGAATTGATGCAACACGCTAAAAATAGCGTCATTGTTGCCGTTGTGTTTTTAGATGCATCATTATTTTCATTCCGAGTGTGTTTTTGTTTTGCCTCACCACATAATTAAATTTCAAGTGTTTAGCATGTTTAATGTGTGAGATTAATAACGGGAGCACCTTTAAGCATCTGAATGGGCAACTAATCTTCTTTGAATGGATTTGTGCTTCAGTAAAAAAAACCCATGAAAATCCATAATGGTAAAAGTCAGAGCAATTGTGAGCAGGCTGTAAGAGTAATGAACTGTGAAGAGAGACAGCCCCAGAGCCAAGCCATATTCCAGTGGGCCTTGCTTCATCGAAAGCAATCACTGCCACGGAGTGCCCAGCCATCCTTGCAGTCATTCCAGCTCCATCTTTGGCCGCCTATAAGGGAGGATCACGCAGTGTTTGACATTATTTTGGTTTCACCATATTGCGGATCATCGTCCATCTGCTGTCTTCTTCCCCAAGGGTCGATCGGTGGTGTGCAGCACCTCCATCTCCTCCACCAATGTTGCTGTTTTGTAGGAATGTGTTCCAGAATTTCAGTTGAATCCAAAAGTTCAGAAAAATTGGGCCTATATATGTAATGAACAATGCAGTTAGGATGAGTTCCAAATTTATAGTTTTTAATCCAGATTTTCAAGGACAATTTCAGATCATTTTGGAGGATTTTGGGATCATTTACATTTGGTCACAATATAACGAGCCAACAAAAACGTTGTTGAGGATTCATCCGAAAACGTGACGTCACGGCATCTCTCAGCGCCCGTCGACGGACACGGCCATCCCCCGCCCGCACGCGCCGCCAGCCCCCGGCTCGGCGTGGACCCACCGCGTACCTGCGAGCACGGCGCCGGCCGTCGTGACGACGACCGACGCGACGACTCCCAGCGTGGGTCGCCCGCCGCGCAGCAGCGCCGCGCCCAGCGCCAGCGTGACGAGCGGCAGGCAGCGCTTGAAGACGACGTACGTGGGCAGCGAGAGGCCGCGCAGCGAGAGCAGCGTCAGCGTGGAGTGCAGCACCGAGAGCAGAGTCACCGGCGCGAAGGCGCGCGCCGGCGACGCGCCGAACGGCGGCAGCGTCACGAGGCCGCAGCGGCGCAACGACTCGAGCGTCAGGGCGGAGAGGAGGGAGCTGGAGAGCTGCAGGAGGGTGAGGTACGGGAAGCGCAGGGTCGACAGCAGCACCTTGAGCAGGAGGTTGAGCGACGCCGAGGTGAGGCCGTGGGCCACGGCCGTGAGCACCCCTCGAGCGCGCCGCCCGCGGACGCACTCGAAGGCCATGCCGGCACGGAGGTCGCCGGAGGTCGGAGCCTGGGGTGGGCGCAGTGGGGGCGGGGCAGTTCGAAAGAGGTGCCGCTACGCGTAGAGAAAATATGTTGGTGTTGTAATCGTTACGCACGTTGGCCAATAGCAGTTACGTTCTATAATACGTCAGGGAATTCTTACTTTGATTGTCGCAGCAGTGCCATCCAGCACGCTGGCACCGCTGACAACCTGGCTTCGAATCCGGGCAGCCACCTGTGATTGAAACACCTTCTCAAGTGTTTATAATCTGAGCCTGGCCGCTAATTCGTTTACACACACACACAAAACTATCACGTTAAATTTGGTTCTGCACTTAATTTGGCAACATTTCAACTCTAAGAATCAGTTTGGCCATCGCGTGACAACGTACTCTCAGTGGCAGAGTGGGTTGGAAAGTGCTGCCCCCTACTGCGAGGACCAGAGGTCACTTGGAGCAATCTCAGATGTAGTTTGGTCATACCCATCTCCGTGGGCCATATTCTCCAACACGAAGGTTTGCACCGCTCTGCGAGAGATCTCAATATAACCGTTGTCTCATGGCGCAACACGGAAAGCACAACCGGGGTAGAATTGGGGGAATTTTTTTTTCTTCACGAGTTTAACTTTTTATGGGAACTCAACAGTTTCCATCCTCTGGAGAGATTGGCTCATGCCATGGGATTGAGGAATTTGCGCCACTGGTTCACGTATTGACTTGATCACTACTCAGCAAATCATTGGGACTCGGATGCACTCTGAAATTACTTCGAAACAATAAACGTTCATCTCAGAGACTCAGCTGTCAATGAATCGATTTGGTTTTTTTCATTTAGAATTTGGGAAAAAAGCCATGTCCTATTTAAATCCATGTCCTATTTCAATCCATTACAAAAAAAGAATAATTTAAATGAGGCTTCACAAACAAATATCAGCAACAACCATGGATAGTTGTGTTTTGCTATGAGCAAGGTTGCCATCAGTGAGCTCGTGCATGGCGCTGGAGGAGACATTCACCTGATGACGTAAACATTTGGAACATCACCGAGCCTCTGTCCGAGGTGTCAAAAATGAATGGGCGGTGTTCATCTATCCCCCTTGAATGGAGAATGTAAATATTTGAATGTGAAGGTATCAAGATGAGATCATGATCCGTTATTAGTGCCGTGAAGAATGATGTCGGGACGCATGCGTCGGGTGGTGGCGGGGGGGGGGGGGTGCAGGAGGAGGGGGCTGCCGTTGAATGATCAATGGCTCGAGTGCAATTGGGTTCACATGAATAAAGGTCGACGAATGTGAATAATGACAATCACGTTGTGGTGAGCCAGTGTGTGTGTGTGTGCGTGTGCATTGGTATAATGGGGATAATAAATGGGGAGCAGTGGAGCAGCGGTCAGCGAGCTGCGCTACGAACCCGGCGACCCGAGTTGAATTCACGCTCACGGACAACACCAGTGACGATTATCTGAACCGGTACTGCCTCCCCCCCCCCCCGCCAATGGAGAGACAAAGGCGGCCGGGCGTGGTGTTGGCCACCCACCCCCTTGTGTGCCGTGCCGGCCTTCGTAGGCGCTCGCTAACAGCACTTGCCCCAACAGTCTGCTCAAGGCTATACGGGGGACCTTTGTCGTTTTATTTGCGGTGGTGTAAACTCTCTGCGGCATCATTAATATGCATTTGCAGCTACGTTAAGCCGCTTCAGACTAACCGTGTAAATTTATTTATTTTTTAATTCTGACTTAATGAGGCTTTCCGGTGGCCCCTGAAATGCACATTCACGCTGAACAAACTTTCAACGTACTTTGGCATGTTGAAAATTGCTTGATGTATAGAGATTTTAGTTTTCTTTTGAACGGAGATACATATGAGTCACACCGTGAGTTGCCTGGAGCGTTCACGTTTCGTCTTGCATGCAGGCTGACGAGCCGAAGTGTTTTATTTCCGAATAAATCACCAACCCATCAGCTAATTGCAAGGCTTCCTTTTAAGCACACAGCGGGGAAATGGCACGGGCCGTATTTATCAATAGTGGCATACTCGTAATTACATTAACCTACGTAAGGACATTCACGTGCAATTTCTTAGCAACGGTGTAGCTCCTTGCCACAAATAAACACAACGGTGTGAACAGGAATCGAATTTTCTGCAAGCTATTTATAATAAAACTGTTTAAATCCACGGGTTTATTTGGAGAGAAAAAAAATACAGCTCAGAAATGTCTTACTTCAACATAGCAAGATAATACTGGTAGGAACGAAGTTGTAAACTGAGTGTACCAGCCTGCAATAGATTAATGTGTCCGTCCGTCCGTCCCCTTTCAATACTTTAACGAAGTGAAATCTCGTGCTGTTGGGTGTAAAATCAGCAATAGACAGCGCAGAGACTTGATATGTCTTATTGCACCCAACATTTGGAAGTAACAATGTCATAAAATTGCGCAAAATTCCAATGTTCCTACCAGCCCACCCTGCAGGGACCAGTTTTTGAAGCCAATTGTGAATCCCAATTACCCTGAATGTGCCAAATCTTATCAAGATTTAGAAGGCGAAGTAAGGTTGACCCTGGATTGTTCTTGGATGGGTCATCACCGGTGCAGTCAAAGGCGCCGTGAGCGGTGGTGGAGAGGGCAGGAGCCACATCTTCAACTGCTTCACCTTCACCAACCCGACCAGAGTGGTGAAGTATGGTCAAAATACTCCCCTACGCCCGTAGGGAGGCCCTCATTCAGCGGTGGAATGAACGTGAACAACACGAACAATCACACTTGTATCGAAGTCGATCAATATTGAGCCGACAGGCAGTCAGGGATGGTTTTGATTTAAGCTGCCGTGGAACACACGTCGCTTTAGTAAGTTTCGTCACGTAAACAGAACGTGGCCAATTCGTCACTAGTACAGCACACCGGTTGTGTGTTGGAGAGCCAAGCCACAACATTTACAATCTGAGTACGACGTTTCGCCATTAACTGCAACTAGCTTCATCAGGCGACAGCTTCATCAGGCTGTATATATTATGGATGATATCGGTCGCCAAAGCCGACGTGTTAAACATACGTCGCTTGTCTGCATCGCGATAGCATTTGCCCGCGAATCCCACGTTTGGATGCCGCACATGGTCGGTCACCGCATCCTCGGTACACAAACCGGGGGGACACATCACGCGAAGAAGGGCATCATCTCACGACACCGGGAGAGGGGAGAATATCGTGTGAATACATCGCCGTGAGTGGCGTGTTATTACGTAACTGACTAATAATGTCTCTGTTGATATTCCCCGGGGGAAGGATTTACAGATTTCCCAGAACATGAGCTATAACTGAAGAGTAAATATACGAGCAGAACTCCATTCTAACTCGCCACAGGTAAATGATGAAAGGTTTTTGTCCATGGGCATATCGGCTTACTGAATCAATATTAGCAGCATATTAGCAAGCGAACAGACGTTGTCACCGGTTTCGGACTTCTGGGTCTCATCAGCAGAAATCAGGCTTACAAAAGAAATGCTGCCGGGGTGGTTAGAGGGCGATGACGCCCGTGTGTTGATCCCTTTGCCAGCTTGCCCATTTAGCCTCCCACAGTGAACTCTAACAGAGCCCCCTACCAGTGCCGGATTATCCTCGTGGCAAAAGCAGCTACAAATGTGGCTACGGGCCCCGCACGTTCAAGGGCCCCGCGCTAAATGCTTTTAAGCGATCAATTCCGGTTCAGTGATTCTGCACTTGCTCTATTACTATAGTACTATACTGCCTTCAACTTTTATGAACGACTGGGTGTTTAAGGTTAGAGATTTGTCGTATTATCTGGCTGTATAGCAAAATGTAAAAAAATACAGTTACTTTACCATGCAAGTAAACAAATATGTGTTTTAATATTTACGTGTTTTTTTATTTAGGGCCCCTTTCTAACATATGCTACAGGCCACGCACTAGCTTCATCCGGCACTGACCCCTACTTAGCCTTCTTCTCTCTCTCTATGGCTCTTCCTCTCACACTCTCTCTCCTTCCTTTCTCTGCATCTCTTTTCCTGCCTGATATCGCACATATCGGCTCTTTTGAGTCGACCTATGGGAGGCCCATGACCGGTTCAGATAATCGTCACTGGTGTTTGCCGTGAGCAGGAATCGAACTCGGGTAACCGGGTCAGTAGTGCAGTGCGCTAACTGCTGCACCACCGCTCCCCGGTGGCGGTGCTCACCGGGCCCCTTTCGCCGCCTCGTCCAAGATGAAGCGGATATAAATGTATTTATTTTTTTAACTATAATTTGTTTAACCCTTCTCTCTTTGTTCGTAGATATAGGCGTGTACAAAAGTATAGAGGGGGGTAAAGAGAGCGTAGCCAAAGGGCGGCGCTAGGCACGGGCAAACTGAGCTTAGGGTATCTGGAAAGACGAAGGGTATCCCAAGATTAATGAATATATAGAATAATAATAATAAGGGGGTAATCAAACGTAGAAAATTGAAAAAGAGGAGACGAGCGTGTAGATTATTAGCATAGCAGGAAAGCGGTTTCGCCGATGAAAATCTGTAAAGTACGGAAAGACCCGCCGACCCATCGCAACAGAATGGTAGGCGCACAGAGGGTAGGCGCACAGGGGCAATGCGAGGAGGCACGGTGGTGGAGTCATCCACGCCCTCTGCTACTGCTCTCAAGCTGGGCTGGAGGTGGCCAGGACCAGCGTCTCTCTGCATGCGCCGTTGTGGGTGGCGATGCCATCCAAGATGATGCCAGAAGGGGCACACGCTGCAAAAGCATGATTTACATTTTTTAAATGTTTGATAGATTTTCCTTGGGGGTTTTTTTTTGTTCACGCATACAGCGCATTGGTTCCATCGTATGCCATTTTCACTGAGTAATCTAATACGTTTCACTTAAGTTATACAGTACATTCTGGATTATGGTGGCTAATTGTTCCCAGTAGTGCAACGTTAGGACGTTAGCCAACGTTGTCCTAACGTTGGGCCCAACGTTGGCGTGATCGCTGGGTTTCCGCAGAGGATGAAACGGCAGTGAATATTCTGCAGGAGTGTAAAGTGTGTTGCGTTTTAAAGCGACCGAATAGCTGAAACTTGTCACAGATATAGTCGAGTCCACACTTTTAACTGGTAAAAAGGAAGAAGAAAAAAAAACGGAAATCAACCGTTTATAATTTGAGCCCCCTAGAAATATATTGTCCGGAGGCTGATTTATTAGACTCAGGGGGCAGGGTCAACCTAAGGTTTCACATTGGTGGAGATCTCACACGAAGCATCAGCGTCGGAGTATGACGCTGAAGTTAAAAGAAGGCGGGACTAGTCTGCTTTACCTCTTATTCCACCAGTCGCATCACGCAGTGGATACACGGACATTTCTCAGACCACCAAACAAATGCTTCCAATCGCTATGCGCCACGATGTATCCGCAGGAGCGATGGATTTCGCACCGGGATATTTTTATTTTTTTACGTTGACATTTCTGACGGGCCGCATTGTTATACAACGTCCCCGCTTCACAGTCTTCCAAACGTAGTGGCCACCACACAAGTTGAATTCGACTGCGGCAAAGCTCTGATTACTCCCCTGCTCTCGCCAGGGCTGTGTGCACGAGGGGATATTCATTCGCAGCGCTCGTTAGGCGATGCGTTACGGGTCGAGCCCTGTATAGACGTCCAAGCGCTCGGCTACTCGGCGTACAAAATAGTTGTCCGTCGTAAAATATTTGCTCATTAAGCAATCTGCCTCGGCTAACTTTCATCGATGAAACTTAATTAAATAAATTGGATGTAGGTACATTGTACTGGGTGTTCCTGATGTCTTGTGACCACCAATGAATTGACCACTTAAAAAAAAAAGTACGTTTAAGAGGATTACATTTGGGGGGGGGGGGGGGTTACAAGACATCTGGACCACCGTGTACAATCTTTTTCAATCGGCTAGATGGATCAGAAATACGAACGCCTGCCGAGTGAGATGCATGCTGGGAGTTTCACCGAGACCGAAAATGTAATGAATGGATCAGGGGACAAAGACACATTTTAGACATCGTCATGATGGCAAGGCTAGACGTCGTGGCGTGGTAACGACGTTATCAGCTCAGGCGGTGCGGCACTCGGTCAGGTGGGGCCTCAATGTTTGATTCGTCTCGCACGCTCGTACCCAGGCTGCTGTTCTACACCGCGGCTCCTCTTGCCTCGCCACATCGCTGCGCTCACGGCCTCGGACATTCATCGCTGTAGGTGCGCTCCGTCTTCGCAGAATGCAGCCGCTCCAGCTCCGTGGTATCTCTTTGCGATGTTACGTTACCGTTATAGTGACATTAAAATAAAAGACGTAAATTTAAACCGCGTTTTAAATAAGTGTTGATGTCCTTTGACACCGTTGTCGATGACAGATCTCATCGTGGTTGCCAAGGGGGCCCCAACTCGTGGCTTTGGCCACCAGGGGTGGAGGGGGAAAGGCACCCCCCTGCCCCCCCCCCCCTGCCTGCCCCCCTCTGCCCCCATGCTCGTCACGCCACTGGCTAGACGGGACGAGGGTGGAGACTGGTCACGGAATGGCAGCCAATGGAGGGAGTGCATCCGAGGGGAGCGCCACTGCGGAGACGGAGCGAGTAGATCGTCAATCAGTCCGTGTACTGTTGCGAGATGCGATCGTGGTAGCACTGGACCACGAGGGGTCGTGACGGCACGGGGAAAGTCTTCATCCAACAGTGGATGGACAATGGACATTGAAATATCACGAAAGCAATGAACTCAATTAAAGTCGCAATAATGTTCAGATGTATTTATAGTACTTTGACGATGGGTGGGTGTGTTATCATTCTTGCAAAGTCTCTTCATATTTGAACACAGTGTAGAGAGACAGAGTTGCAGGAATGAAGAGTGTGGAATGCCCTGTATGTGCAAGATTGGCAAAAAAAAGTGCGTGTGATGAGATGGTTTAACCACATCGTTTGAGTTCCTGCCCAGAGGGAACATACGTGATCAGTGTTGATTTACGTGTGCATCGGTGCTGGACCACCCCTTGACCATCAGGATGGTGAAGTATGACCAGATTGTCACGTTGACATCGCGATGTTGTTTACACGCGCCAACGTTGGCGTATAAAGATCCTCACCGGTGACTTTTCATCACTAAATTCAACGTCACAATAATTACGCGCGACATTATGAAAATACAGTATACAAAACGCACCACGATTCATGGAACCAAGGCCGTAATAATAATATATTTTGGGGGGGACACATCCCCACCAATTTTCAAATATACTCAAAATGCCCCCCCCCCCCCCAATATATTGCTATAAACAATATTGTAAAAAAAATAATTGCTATGCTATGTAAATAAAAACAACAATTTGCTAAACCTTGGCCACAATATCTGGACTTCACATAACAATGCATAGATTTCTGTTTTTTTTTATTGTGGTCATGGTTGTACTTTATTAATCCCTAATCTCTGGCATTACATACAATGAAACAAGAAAAGATAAAAAAGGACAAACAGTGCAATGTAATACAATACACTCTTAGACATTATTGTAAAAAATAAAATATAAGTCCATCCCATGTGTTAGTGAATTTTTTAATATTTTAGGCAGGAAATTAGTTATCAAATTTAGATATTTTTTCTGGGGGGGGGGGGGGTGGGGGGCCTAGACCCCCTGGAAGATTTGGTCCCCCCCAATGTTGACTCCACGGCTACAGCCTTGCATGGAACCATACAGTTATATTCCAAGCAACTTAAAAAATAACCTGTATTTATATTTTTTTCAATATTGTAGGTCAAAAACACATAAAGGTGAAACATACAGATATTTCATTGAAACAAAATCAAAAGTACCAAATCTAAACCAATTTCATTCAGGGCTTTTGCCCTAAAACTGTGCACGTATCTTGAAAAATTATGAATAAGAGACTTCTCCTTATCAACAGCGGAAACATCACCGCTCAAGGCTAGACGTGTGGATTAATGCCGCAGTCATTCAAATCTGCGGCGTTATCAAAAAATTAGGTATCATTTCGGTAATTCAAATTAATACAGTGAGGTACCATTCACTGGTGGTGAACGCGGAGTCCTGAATAGAGCAGAAGATAGACAGTGGCAAGATATGCAGTACCGAATATAATATCGCACGCTTTAACAAATACCACGCCGTTTCAAGAGCGAGAGAGCGAGAGAGAGATGACTTTACCTCGAGTGGAGACTGCAGCGAAATGTGCACTGCGATGATTCCACTGCTTCGCTCTTCCTCTGCCCTCTCGGACTTCTCGCTCTGATGTGCGGTTCGTATTTCTTTTTTTTTACGGAAGCCAATTTGATTTCATCGTCTCAATGGCCGTACGATCCATTCCAACTCATCTTGTGAGTGCTGTAGCCTGGTGCCGTCCGCTGCTGCATGCCACACGCGCTGCGTTAATGCCCTGGGAGGAGGAGTAGGAGGTGGTGGTGGTGAACCCGTGAGATACTCTTCTCTTCCAAAGCTTTAACCATTCTCGCGACGAGCGTACTACTGAACGTATCCAGCGAACGTACTCCTGAACGTATTCCTTAACGTACCCACTGAACGCTACACCTCCTGGGCGCCACGAGATTATCGGTGCAAAAAATAAATATCTAAGAAAATTTTATATATTCCCCCCCTGGCATTTTATGATGCAATTACTTAACGTATTTTCAAACATATTGGTCGAACCCGATGTCTGTAGCACGAACATGCAGCTGCCATGGATGTGGGACGTGTATTTCTCAATGAATGAGTGGTCATCGAGTTAATGAATGCCGCATTTATAGAGGAAAGAAAACCAAACTCGGGGTGTGGCCTATAGACGTCCCCCCCCCCCTACTCAAAGATGCTTGCCAAACTAATTACCCCTAAAGCTTGCAGAGCGCTTCGCGGCCCGCTCGCCTAATCCGTCTCTATCTCGCTCATTGTTGCCGTTGTCACGGCACGGTGGAGGAGCTCTTCTCTGGCACACGTGCGGGGGACCGACCCGCGTTCTGTGCGTCGGCGACGAGCGTTGGGGCAGGAGGACTCCCACAACCGCTCAGTGGCGTGTCGCAGTCGATGAGATGTCAGCCACGTGGGGAATTGGTGCGGATGGCTTGCAAAAAGAGGAATGGGGTGCTGTCGTGCCACTCGCTGTCTCTGAGTTTGTACCCACCGGGCCAATGCACCACAGTCCACGAGGTGAGGGATACTTCGGGGTCAACGAGTATATCTTTCTGAATCTGAAGCTTTCGTGACTGCAGGAATCCATACTCTTTGGTTGTTTCGGTAAAGTCACGTAGGTAGAAAATAACATAAATCACGACGTTTCGGGCGCAACACAAGTGTCCATCATCAGGTGGGTAAGCATGGTCTGCTGCTGTGGCAGACTGTTATATCTTTATTTAGCTTTGCTCAGGTCTACGGAAGGCATGTCTGAGATGACGAGACGATTTGTTACAAAGCGTAGTGATTTTGCACAATAATTCAACTCTCGCAGGAAGACTTCATGAGAGTTTTGTGATTGCGTCCCATGAACTTCCTGCTTCAGATGTTCGGCCAATCGTAATTTTTGCGGTATTATTTTTTTCCATTGGTTGTGTACTCCCCGGAGTCGCTGGAGAAAATCCGTGCCCCTGAAACCCACTTGCTGCGCTGCCCCATCAAGACATACAATTTTGTTACCTGCGGGGCATTAACTTCTGCGCGAATGTCTGTCAACCTGGGAGCCGAGAGGGAGGCAGAGAGAGGAACGATTCGCTTCCATTCCCGAGGAGGTGCAGAACAATCACAACCTTACGGCCATCTCACGGAGAATGTCATTGCCCCGCGCGGCCAGCACTGTAAGCCAGTAGTTTCACCCGGCCGATGGCAATCACTTCCCTGATTGGGGGGGGGGGGGGGAGATTCGTTACATTTGTCATGCGTTTATCGCGCCTGTAATTTCAGCCTCGGCACGGCGGCTGCGTTAATCGATTAAACGCGCCACCAGCGTTGTCGACAGCCCGTTGCATTGTGCTGTAAATATCCCAATTTCTAACGCGATGCCCTCTGTGCGCGAAGGAAGAGACACCCCCGATCCAAACAAAGGAGCGACATTGCCGTGATGCTGGCAACGCGGGGCAATTGGATGATGCGCGACTCCAGCAGCCTCACGCCCCTTGCATGCGCGTCCACGTGAGCCACCCACCCGCCCACGGTGCCCGTCGACGTGACGTGACGGACGTCCACAACTTCCCAACTCGGCTTTTTGATCAGAAGAATCACCCCGTTTGTCAAAGCGCCTCTCTGTGTGTGTGCGCGTGTCGAACTTCTTTCGCGCCGTACGTAGCCAAACGCGCCTCTCATCGTGAGTCTCGACGCACTGTACAAGACAGTAGCAGCAGACACTGGGCACATGAAACTGAAACGTGGAAAACGGTCAAATAAAAAAAGCTAAGCAGCCATTTGCTGAATTGGCAAAAACGTTGAATAAACTGAAGTGTACAGATACGGTTTAAGGCGAGTGTGTTTAAAAAAAAATGTCCACAGACTCAGAAATCTTGAGATCCCGCAGGTGAGTGTGGGAGGCTGCCTTCGATCGAAGCTTCTATGACCTGGGAAGGCAGAGAGGATCTGCATCCCCCACCATATCTTAGATGCCTTGAGGGGACATGTGAGTGGAGCAAGTCTCTAATGGGGTAAAGGTAGTTATTTTGAGTTGGTGGTCTAGACAAGGCTGAGAGCATGGCACATGCAATGGAGTAGTTACACGACATGCATCGCAAGGCATTATGGGCGTCGTGCCTTCCCGCCTTTGTTCGCTGTTATTTCTAAACTTCAATACGAGTCACGATTTGGTCGACTTGAGTTCCAAGATGTGCCATTTGTTTTGCATCGCTCGCAGATACGGATCATCATCGTAGAGTGACATCCAAAAGGATGTCACTCTACATCCAAAAGGATGTCACTCTACATTTCACACTCCTCGCAAAATTCCTGGAAAGAGTATTTTTTTCTCTGCTCTCTCCAAAATCATAATTCTCTCCGCAACCTACACGACCCAGTTCAATCCAGCTCCTATCATGGACATTCAGGTGAAATGGGGCCGTCCATAAATGACGTCACGCACCTGGGGGGGGGGGGGTCAGACATTTGTGACGATGTGTGACGAGGGGGGTTTGAGACATGTGACGTCACACAAAAATGCGCAACTTTAAACAAATACGGCTTACCAAAAATACATAAAGTTGATACACCTCTTCGTCCCATAGTCTCTACTATCAGCTCCCCCACCTACAAACTAGCTCGTTTTTTGTCTGAAATCCTGCGTCCTTTCACTGGAAAGACCACCTCTGCGGTACAAAATTCTACTCACCTGGTATCAACAATCAAGGGTATTTCCCTGTCCCCAGACGACCTGCTTGTCAGTTTTGATGTAGTTTCCTTATTCACCAAGGTTCCTGTACCTGACACCATTGCAATCATTGAAGACTTGGTTCATCAAGGACTAAACACTGAGGTACCCCCCCTGGTGAGACACTGTTTAACCAATACATACTTCACTTGGAATGGAACTTTCTACAAACAAACTGAGGGCACCCCAATGGGCTCCCCCCTTTCTCCAGTTATAGCTAACATTTTCATGGAGAAATTTGAGACTGATGCCATCCAGACTGCCACTCTGCGCCCAACCTTATGGAAGAGGTACGTGGATGACACTTTTGTCATCTGGCCACATGGCCGGCCTGCTCTAGACAAATTCTTCGACCACATCAATTCCATACACCCAGCCATCAGATTTACCATGGAAGTCGAAATAGATGGCAAGATACCTTTTTTGGATGTCCTAATTAAAAAGAGACCTGATGGTTCAATGAGCCACTCTGTCTACAGGAAAGCTACCCATACGGATGCTTATCTGAAACCGGATTCCCACCACCATCCATCACAGAAGAATTCTCTCATCAAGACTCTGTATCATAGAGCCCAATGCATATCCGACCAGGAACACATAAGCAGTGAACTCAAGCACGTACACCAAGCTCTTAGGGCTAATGGTTACTCCGACTATACAATCCGCAAAGCTATCACTCAAACCATGAAGAAGAACCCTCTTGAGGAGCCTTTCAAAACCATCACTTTACCCTACATTGCTGGGATCACAAAAAAGATCTCCAAAATCTTGAATAAACACAAGATCCAGGTCCGTTTCAACACATTACATAAAATCCGTGATCTGGTTCCGTCTGTAAAAGATGTGATTCCGGACATACAATACCCTGGTGTCTACAAACTAAGTTGCCTCTGTGGTAGTAGTTACATTGGAGAAACCAAACGCCATATCTCGGACCGCATTCGTGAACATAAAGCAGACCTTAAACACGGTAGGACCAACACCTCGGCCGTAGCAGATCATTGTTCTAATTCAGTAGGCTCACATGCCATTGACTTTTCCAAGACGGAGGTTCTTTGTAAGCCATCTGGCTTCCATGAGAGATTCGTTCATGAGGCTATCCACATATACAAACACAGAGACAATTTCAACCGAGAAGATGGATTCTATCTTAGCAATCATTGGAAAGATTTGATAAATCATTTCAGTTCTTGATTGATTGTTCACGCTTACAGTGCCTTTCAGACAGCATACATAAAAACAAATTTCGTCTCCCCCCTCCTCTTTTCAAAAAAAATAGATGGACTAGTCCTGGCAAACTGCCATCGTTGCGCGTGACGCAAACGTTATTTTTATATATATAAATAAATATGCCGTTTTCAAAATAAATTTATGCAAACCGACACACCTGATGATGACCGTTTGAGTTATGGTCGAAACGTCGTGAGAATTTTTTTTTATTGTTTTTTTATATATATTTTGTTATTTTGTTGTTTCTCTTCAACGTGACTTTACCGAAAAAACTAAGAATATGAATTACTGCAGTCACGAAAGCTTTAAATCAAAATTTAAATATAGAATTGTTATAACAACAACACTAATTGTTATAACACTCCTACAACATCAGAGTGCAGCGCCACATTAAATACGCACTACAATGACAATAGTTTAAAGCGATTCGAAGCATGTTTTATTTTCAAAATGGAAATATGGTTTGGGGGGGGGGCAGAGCTTTGTGGCACCGACGCTTTACCCCGTCACCGACTGGGGTGGAACCCCTTCACAACGCCGGGTGTTTCCAGTGTGCCGAGGATGGTCATTAAAAAAAAACACACACATTTTAGATTTGAGACCGCCAGTGTGTACTCTTTGGTTCTATTGGGTAAAGTCACGTAGGTAAATTTACCTACGTGACTTTACCCAATAGAACCAAAGAGTATGGATCCTTGCAGTCACGAAAGCTTTAAATCTAGAACCGTCAGTGTGCCCAAAGCGCAAAGCACTCCACCAGTGGGGAGGGACGTGGAGGCGGGTTCACTGTAGCAGCAAGCTTTGCGCCGGCAAACACGAACGTTCAATTTCCCTTTGACATTCACTGTGACGCGAGCACGAGCCGAGGATGCGCCTGTCGCACGATTAGCTCCGAAATGAAATGTTTAAGCCGCTCTGATAAACGCTCTTAATCTCTCACAGGTTCAAGCGCTGTGTGTCACGGCGTGTTGGCCAGAAGCTCCGACACTCGCCGAGTCAACGGAGTTGCTTCGACAGCTGTGCAGTGGCCAAAACAAAGGGAAGTGGCGGAGCGGTGGCGCAGTGGTTTAGTGTACAGTGCCGTGCAATGAGCCCGGCGACACGAGTTCAATTCCTTGACCAGTGGGCGATTGACATCTAAACCGGTGCTGGGTTCCCGGCACACGTGGCAGAAGCGGTGGCGCGCAGTGAGTTGGCTCACTACGCGCCGACAGCCACGGTGAGAAGTGTGGTCCAACAACCCCTAAGACCCACAACGGCGCGGGGAGACATTGATCCACCAGCGGATGGACAAAGGGCTGTAAAGTTGTAGGGCTATTTTGTGGTAGCGTAAACAACAGTTCAATACTTTGCTTTGTTATTCATGTCCAAATCATTGTCCATCTCTTGGCATGCCGGGGCATTCGCAAGTACACCGCGTGTCCTCAATAATTTTAAATATAACATTTACATATAAAGCTCGGAGGAATAAGACTAGTTGTGCTGTCTAAACCAAAAAAGCGCCACTTTTTTCCAAATTCGCTTGCTGTGGTTTTCACACCTGATGATGATGATTGCTTGTGTTGCAGTCGAAACGTCGTGAGAATTTTATTTTTTTATATATATTTTTTATTGTTTCCCTTCTACGTGACTTTACCTAAAGAACCAAGAATATCTGTCTAAACCAGTTTGATAAATATTCAGCTGCCGTCGATTTGACTGTTACGTGCCACCAAAATTAATTAAGGAATCTGCAATTTATTTTTAAGGTGGGGGGGAGGAGAGGGCAATTCTGAAAGTGTCATCGCGAAAAATTCGAGAAGCTACCACGAATCATTATTGCGGAATCTGAACGAGACGGCGCACAATTTAACGCTCTCTTCCTCCCCTCCGGGAGATCCGACCGCCACTCGGCCCCCGTCGCGATGGGAACGCGTGGCCGCGCCTCAACCCAAATGCCAATTTAAATTATCGGGCAGGAAGCGCAACGTTTGCTGTTCAGAGAATGAACCTCGTCACGCACCCACGAACACTATGAGATTTCCAGTACATTTAACGCACCGAATGCCAAGACTGAAGCCGCATTTATGTATTGCGGACCAGCGATTGCCTACCTGCTCATGCCACTGCTGGATTATCCTAGCAGCAAAAGTAGCTACATATGTAGTAGCTACGGGCCCCGCACGTTCAAGGGCCCCGCGCTAAATGCTTTCAAGCTATCAATTCCGGTTCAGTGATTCTGCACTTGTTCTATAACTATAGTACTATATTGCCTTCAACTTTTATGAACGACTGGGTAAATTAAGGTTAGCGATATGTCGTATTATCTGGCTGTATAGAAAATTAAAAAATACAATTACTTTACTACGCATATAAAAAAGAGTGTTTTAATGTGTTTTTTAGGGCCCCTTTATAACATATGCTACAGGCCCCGCACCAGCTTAATCCGGCACTGGCTCAATGCCACTGGTGGCACAAAGGGTAATTTGGCCGACCCTTCCACACTGACCAAATATGACATGTCCGATTTTATCTCCTGGAGTGCGGCAGATGAAACAGTGGTGCAAGTTTATTAAAAAAAAAACTCCGCCTTTCCACCCAGAAGTATGAATGGGTACACGAGTTAGTCGATAAAAAAATGTGTGGTCAGGTCAGGTTGGAATACTCCCACATGTCCAAGATGTGTGTCCAGCATGGACAGAGTAGGCTCAATACCCTACAGAGGCTCTCTGGAGCTCCTGATAACAGAGGCCCTACTACCAGCGCTAGCGTGAGCATACGCTCGGAGGGGCTACACCTAATAACTGGGAGATTTTCTCACCAGTGTCGGCCTCATGGTCGAAGTGGAAAGCCAGCCAGCCAGACTCCAAAGCCCATGGAATTATTTTGTCTGCTTAACTATGGTAGCCATGGTCTGGGCCCAGCTGAAGATTACGGGATATATCACGGATGGATTCTTTGACAATGCAAATGGGAAAGGCACACATTGACATCTAGGCCGATTTCTGCTGCTGTACATTCCAAGAGGCTTGTTTATGTACTGCATGTATATCATGCACCTGATCTAATCCGATCTTGGAAAGCGAAGCAGAGTGAAGCCTGGGTAGTTCTTGGATAAGCGACCGCCATGTACAACAGGTGTTAAAGAGGTTGTAAGACTGCCTAATGGACAGCAGAGGGCAGTGAAACGAATTTAATTGTAACATACTTCTATGCTCCCACCAAACTACACCAACCAGTGTGAGGATGTAGTGGGAAGGCCCCGTCTAGCAGTCGATTGAAAAATGACTGACTATGCCATGTGCATATATTAAAAGGTGGCAGAGTGGTCAGCGCACTGGCATATGAAGTCAGTTCAATTTCCAGCCACGATTAACATCAGTGGCGAGCTTTGTCTTGTTATCTGAACTGGTCCAGGGCTCGCTTCAAAGCACATCAACCAGGAATGGTGAAATACGGCCCTCCAACCCTGACGACAGACACGGTATACAGAGACTCTCTTACTGCAGCAGTTTGATAAGGGGGTAGTATGTTAAAAGGGTACAGTTATACTCATTTCAAGTGCATCACAAGGTACATTTAAGCATCTTCTTTGTGTGTCGATCACATTAAGAATTTTACTGACATTAAATGTCACCATATGCAAAATAAAATTCGACAAAAGGGTACAGTTATACTCATTTCAAGTGCATCACAAGGTACATTTAAGCATCTTCTTTGTGTGTCGATCACATTAAGAATTTTACTGACATTAAATGTCACCATATGCAAAACAAAATTCGGCAAAAACAATTACAGTAATCTCTATTTCCAATACTTCATTTTCAAAAATGTTTTTTACACAATGATGTTGTATTATCTGCGTCTCATTAACATTCATCAGTTGAACATATCCAGCAATCAAGAGTCTGATTCTCGACCACATTCATATTTGTGAAATATTTCCCAGGGATGAATCGATGCAACAGTAATTAGCACAATATGCTTTGAACCCAACTACCTGAGTTGGATTCCCAGCTACAAACACCATCATTAGCGAGCGATATCTGAACTGGTCCTGGGCCCCCACTTCCCCAACCTGCACTGACCAGTATGGTGAAGTATGGTCAAACCACCCCCGTATGGCATGGTGAGGTATTATGTATTACTATGCGTGCTTATCCAGGAAAGCCTGACCTATTACCCTATTTTTTATATTACCAGGTAACGTCCACCTAGATACGTCGCTCTTTTTCATAAGCAACCTGGCCACAAACTGATAGCTCAACGAAGTGGCTTATCATGGGGAAATTCACAGCAGTCAAATACTCTTAAGGAGAGACAAATCCATGCCGCCACGGGGAGAACACGAAAACTCCTGCAACACCAGGCGGGGCGGATAACATCTCGCCACCGTGGCGGCCCATTACATCTCTGCCAAGTTTTTTTTGCAGGAGGGGGCGATGGCGCTGCTGTGTAATCCCAAATGATTCAATTGTCAGGTAAACATTTCCAGCACTGGAATCATTTTCTAACACCAGTTCCATTGGGTATTTTTTTTTTTAGCTATGGGACGAACCCTGAACCCTTCTCTGTATGCTCGTTGAACTTCTTTCACACCGTACGTAGCCAACCGTGCTAATCTCTCCGAGGCACGGGTCTCACCACTGTGCCAACATGTCTTCATCCAGCAGTGGATTATGTTTAATTTCATCCAGCACCGACTGTGATCCACAGCCCGGGTGGAGGGTGGGTGGAGAGGCGTGATGCCAGCGCGTCGCACGAACCCGGGCTCGACGCTGTGGGACGCGGGTGGCATCTGTGTGCGCGGTGACGTCACCACCGCGCGCACACACACACACACGTGGTCAACTCCTTTTGATGTTTCATCATCATCATCAGACGTTCTTTCCACTGTTGGATGAAGGCCTCGCGCCCCTACCCCCCCCCCCCCCCCACGTCGTCACCAGAGTCCTGCAATGTCACCGCGTTCCATTTCGTAGTTGACCTAGGCGCGACGAAATCCCATCGCTCCACCGCCATGGTGCTCAAGTCCCGTGTCTCCACGCTCTAGTCCCGTGTCTCCACGCTCGAGTCCCGTGTCTCCACGCTCGAGTCCCGTGTCTCCACGGTGCTCAAGTCCCGTGTCTCCACGGTGCTCAAGTCCCGTGTCTCCACGGTGCTCAAGTCCCGTGTCTCCACGGTGCTCAAGTCCCGTGTCTCCACGGTGCTCAAGTCTCGTGTCTCCACGGTGCTCAAGTCCCGTGTCTCCACGGTGCTCAAGTCTCGTGTCTCCATGGTGCTCAAGTATCGTGTCTCCACGGTGCTCAAGTCCCGTGTCTCCACGCTCAAGACCCGTGTCTCCACGCTCAAGTCTCGTGTCTCCACGCTCAAGTCCTGTGTCTCCACGGTGCTCAAGTCTCGTGTCTCCACGGTGCTCAAGTCCCGTGTCTCCACGCTCAAGTCCCGTGTCTCCACGCTCGAGTCCCGTGTCTCCACGGTGCTCAAGTCCCGTGTCTCCACGCTCAAGTCCCGTGTCTCCACGCTCGAGTCCCGTGTCTCCACGGTGCTCAAGTCTCGTGTCTCCACGGTGCTCAAGTCCCGTGTCTCCACGGTGCTCAAGTCCCGTGTCTCCACACTCAAGTCTCGTGTCTCCACGGTGCTCAAGTCCCGTGTCTCCACGGTGCTCAAGTCCCGTGTCTCCACGGTGCTCAAGTCTCGTGTCTCCACGGTGCTCAAGTCTCGTGTCTCCACGGTGCTCAAGTCTCGTGTCTCCACGGTGCTCAAGTCTCGTGTCTCCACGGTGCTCAAGTCCCGTGTCTCCACGGTGCTCAAGTCCCGTGTCTCCACGGTGCTCAAGTCCCGTGTCTCCACGCTCGAGTCCCGTGTCTCCACGGTGCTCAAGTCCCGTGTCTCCACGGTGCTCAAGTCCCGTGTCTCCACGGTGCTCAAGTCCCGTGTCTCCACGGTGCTCAAGTCCCGTGTCTCCACGCTCGAGTCCCGTGTCTCCACGGTGCTCAAGTCCCGTGTCTCCACGGTGCTCAAGTCCCGTGTCTCCACGCTCGAGTCCCGTGTCTCCACGGTGCTCAAGTCCCGTGTCTCCACGGTGCTCAAGTCCCGTGTCTCCACGGTGCTCAAGTCCCGTGTCTCCACGGTGCTCAAGTCCCGTGTCTCCACGCTCGAGTCCCGTGTCTCCACGGTGCTCAAGTCCCGTGTCTCCACGGTGCTCAAGTCCCGTGTCTCCACGCTCACAATGTTTGGAGAGAACTTCGCACAACTCCGTAATGGCATTCACAACGACGGCTGAGTAAACTGACAATAATCTTTCCTTTGATTATAAATACAGGGTGCTTAAAAAAAAGTGTTAACACTTCTGGGAATTTGCAATAACACCACAAGAAATATGCCTCTGGGCTCTGGAGACCACCTGGAGAAGATTCCAGGCACGCGTTGACAACGATGGTGAACAAGTGGATACTTTTTGAAGCTATTAACATGTCACAGTGTAGTATTATCCGTTTTCTTTCCATTAAAAACGATAGTTCCATGTAAGTGTTGACTTTTTTTTTAAGCACCCGAAATAAAAAAGGCGAAACGAGTTTAATGCTGATGGCAGTGACTGTGACAGCAATTTTAGCAGCAATGCCAACTGCGATGTAGACGGGGTGGGGGGAGTTGGAGGGAGGACGGTCATATATCATTGGTTCCATAGGTCAGCTTGGAGCGGCATTCAGACAACCAGGAACGTACACACGCACCGTCTCATCCCAGGCGCAGTCCGCCACCTGCAACCGCCCGAGAGGGAGAGAGGGAGACGGAGACAGGGAGAGAGGGAGAGAGACGGAGACAGGGAGAGAGGGAGACGGAGACAGGGAGAGCGGGAGAGAGGGAGATAGGGAGAGAGGGAGACAGGGAGAGAGGGAGACAGGGAGAGAGGGAGAGAGGGAGAGAGACAGTGAGAGAGGGAGACAGGGAGAGAGGGAGACAGGGAGAGAGGGAGAGAGACAGGGAGACAGGGAGAGAGGGAGACAGGGAGAGAGGGAGAGAGACAGGGAGACAGTGAGAGAGGGAGACAGGGAGAGAGGGAGATAGGGAGAGAGGGAGACAGGGAGAGAGGGAGACAGGGAGAGAGGGAGAGAGACAGTGAGAGAGGGAGACGGGGAGAGAGGGAGACAGGGAGACAGTGAGAGAGGGAGACAGTGAGAGAGGGAGACAGGGAGACAGGGAGACAGTGAGAGAGGGAGACAGTGAGAGAGGGAGACAGGGAGACAGTGAGAGAGGGAGACAGGGAGAGAGGGAGAGAGGGAGACAGTGAGAGAGGGAGACAGGGAGACAGTGAGAGAGGGAGACAGGGAGACAGGGAGAGAGGGAGAGAGGGAGACAGTGAGAGAGGGAGACAGGGAGACAGGGAGAGAGGGAGAGAGGGAGACAGGGAGAGAGGGAGACAGGGAGATAGGGAGACAGGGAGAGAGGGAGACAGGGAGAGAGGGAGACAGGGAGAGAGAGAGACAGGGAGAGAGGGAGACAGTGAGAGAGGGAGACAGGGAGAGAGAGAGACAGGGAGATAGGGAGACAGGGAGAGAGAGAGACAGGGAGACAGGGAGAGAGGGAGATAGGGAGACAGGGAGAGAGAGAGACAGGGAGAGAGGGAGAGAGGGAGACAGGGAGAGAGAGAGACAGGGAGAGAGGGAGACAGTGAGAGAGGGAGACAGGGAGAGAGGGAGACAGGGAGATAGGGAGACAGGGAGAGAGAGAGACAGGGAGACAGGGAGAGAGGGAGATAGGGAGATAGGGAGAGAGAGAGACAGGGAGAGAGGGAGAGAGGGAGACAGGGAGAGAGGGAGACAGGGAGAGAGGGAGACAGGGAGAGAGGGAGACAGGGAGAGAGGGAGACAGGGAGATAGGGAGACAGGGAGAGAGGACAGCGTCAGTGGGGCATCATCGGGCCAGGCACGACCGCCAAGGCTGCGAGTTGGGGCACAACAGAGAGCTCAGGGAATCGTGAATTTGAATGAAGTCCGTGAAATCGTGGAAGTGGCTGAAGAAACACACGAGATTGGGCAACTTCCTTGATTTGCTTTCCAAAGTAGCATAGGTCAAGTGGTGAAAATACAACTCTATATAAAAAACACAACGTTGCATTACAAACACACCTCTGTATTTCAATGCACTACGTGGGGCAATCCCAGAGGTGTGCAGTGGGTGGGTGGAGGGCAAAAGTGCCACTGGGCTGTCCCCCTATGCGAACCGGTCGGCCCATATTTAGATCGCTTCACTTTTATTTAACCAGGTAAAAAAAAAAAACCCTTGAGGTTGAAAACCTTTTTTGCGAGGGGGACCCTTTGACCACTTCACTCCAAATTGATTCGAAATGTCAAAACACTTGAAAATTATTTAGATTCACCAGTTGTTATGGTTATGAATAAAAAAATAACATATTTTTCATAAAAAAATTAAGGGAAATGTTTTGGCGGGCACCGCCCCCACCTGACCACCACATGACCTTTCCATCAACAGTGTCCCCCCGCTCCCCCACCTTGGCTGTGAATGTTACTCCAAAAGTACCATGCCAAATTCATATCCTAGACCACTACACACACACACAGCACGGCACCTGCACTCTCAGAGCAGATCGATGAATCGCCGTGCGTGTTATCACTGCTCAAAACCTTGTTGCCGGTGCAGAGAGAAAAGACAACCCTTAGTAACGTCACAACAAATGGCACTTTGCGCACGCCATTCTGTCGGCGCGACCGGCGGTGTTGGCCTACCGAGGCAGCGCGCGAGCGGTGTTTGAACAGCAACCCCCACCCCCTCCGCCCCAGCCCCCCCTTTCGCGGCACGGATGATTCCAATGTGTCACCGCCTGTCAAAAATCCTCAAAGGCGTCTTTCTTAGCGCCACGGCTCATCGCCTCGGTTTTCCAATTAAATTACTAGCCGTGCGAAACGGGAAGGGCGGTGACGCGCCATCGCTGGCTGACGGTTCCGTTTCGGCGAGGCGGCGCTCCCCGGCCGCTTGGCAAATATTTTAACACATGCCCTCCCCTGCGAGCGACCAGCGCCAACCGCCTATGCGTGGCCGCTCGCGAGTGCCGTGTAGACACAACCCACCGGAAACGACTAACCAAGGGCAGCGGAAACTATCACGGTATCACCGTTAAATTCGCCGATGCGAGATGTTAACTACCTCGCCTGGTATGCCGGAAGACAAAGCGTGTCTCTCTCCCCGGGGTCACGGCGGATTTTTCTCCGGGTCGTCCGGTTTTTTCCCTCCACATTTAGAATCAACATCACGTGTTTAGAGTATTTGGCTGCTATAAAATTTCCACGTGATAAGCCACTTCGTTGAGCTATCAGTTTGTGGCCAGGTTGCTTATGAAAGAAAAAATAGCTTTATAGCTCAGTGGGCCTTACCTGGTAAAATTAAAATTGCTCAGCTGATCATAGCTTAACAAGTAAATAATTGGACAAACATTTTGTTGAGTCTATATGCGCATTAGAAACCATTCTATTATTTGGTATGGCAATATATTTAGGAGCTAAATGACAACGTGAAGGTCTGCTGGGCACGACGAGCGGGCATCACGAGAGAGTCTGTGTAGTTTTGCTATTCCTCCTCCGTCGAAGCAGCGCAGGCTACAGTCGTTTACAATGCGCTCCACAGTCAGTGGCACATGGCCATGATCGCACTGCTATAAACCTCTTCCACTGAATGCAAAACAATTATTACCATATAGAAACAGAGTACGGAGCACAATGGAGAGGGCCTTTTCAAATGCGACAATTTGCCCGGATGCTGTGATTCATCCTTGTTTCAACATCACCCCGATGTTGTTCCTGCGGTGACGTTCACTTATTCCCTTTTGTATTCACGTTTGTTTTTGTCCTCCCGGTGCCACGCACCTGGCGCAGGTGCCAGTCAGCCGGGCGCAGCGCGCAGCGACGCCACAAGAAGAGAAAAGAAACGACACTCCGCCACGTATCCTATCACTCTCGACGCATCAGCACGAGCATTGTTCCAAGCTAAAGATGGTTAAAATGAATGAACGAATGCGTCATCGGCTCTTTCCTTTAGCTATAATGGTGATACCAAACAACAACAAACACCCATGCATGATTGCTGATCGAGCAAAGGTCAAACCTCATTTCCCTGGGGTGATTGGGCTTTTTGGAGTGCAGCTGCCAAGCTTTGGAATTCTTTGCCTTTGTGAATAAGCCAATCAGAACCATTAGATATGTTTAATTTGGCCTTGAAAACCGACCTCTTTCGACTGGCCTTTCCCCCTGGCTAGTTCTGGCCGTTTAACCTGCAGGTTCTGTCTGCTTCCTGCTTTCCATGCACGGGGCACATTGGGATCTACGGATGAAATGCGCCTTACAAAAACAAATAATTATTATTAACTGATACCCTGGACACGCTTACAAAGGTCGATGAAGGTCGGGGCCTGTGGCCCCGACCTTCATCGACCCACACCGACCAGCGTGGTGAAGTACGGTCAAACAACCCCCACAACCTGCACGGCGTAGGGGGGGGGCTAATCCAGCAGTGGATTGACAAATGTCCATACATGTACGTACATACAGGGTGGATCGGTGGTGCCGCGGTTAGCACACTGTTATGAACGACGAACCCCGTGGCCTGCGTTTAATTGCAATAATCAGCTGACATCACCGCCCGCCATGGTACAATGACCAGCGTGGTGAAGTATGGTCAAACACCGTGAATGACCACAAGGTGTGGGGAAGGCCTTCATCTAGTCGTAGATTGAAAGAAGGCTGTATTAAGAATTTAGTTACGCGGTGGTGCAGTGGTTATCGCTCTGTGCCATGAACCCGATGTATCTAAGTTCAATACCCGGCCACTGTAAACATCATTGGCGCGTGATATTTGGACCTGTCGTGGGCATCCGCTTTGTCAACTCAGTGACCAGTCTAGTGAAGTATGGTCAGGCAACTCCCATGACACACAAGATGTTTGGAGGCCTTCATCTAGCAGTGGATTAACAAAGGCCTGAAAATTCATCGACATTTGTTAAAACACGGAACCTAAAAACATTGTCTGAAGGGCAAGTACCGACTAAAAAATTGCCCGATGCTCGAGTGAGCAATTGGGTGGAAATCACCTCCACGAGATGCCATAAGACAGAAGTGGAACTTCCATAATCACATGACAGGGACCAAATAGAAAAACCACGAATGGACAATCACGAAACATCGCTGACCAGCCCATACTGGACATCTGTGAAGAAGAGCTGCATAACTTATCGGATTCCTACAGTCTAAATATTTTAATTCTAATTAGCATCCCACGCGTATGTAACATGCCATCTGGGTTTGGCAGCGCATGCTCCCACGGCCTCTTATCGTTTATGGCTGAGCACCTGATGCACAATGTTACCTGCCCAGGTGTGTGAATGCTGAAGTCGAGGCCACAAACAAACTCCGTGTGGTGTTCCACCGTTTGGAGCAGGGGAACGGGCGCCTGGAAATCCCAGAACCTGTGAAAGGAGAGAAAGTCAGACCACGTGACCACGCCAGCAGTGTTCATGAAGTCAGCACGTTTTTGGTATTTATATTAGTTCGTAGATTTAAGCTTGGTCCACACTCCAAAATCAAATTTTGGAGTAAAATTATGTTGGCACTGAGGCCCTATGAAATAAAAAGTTCTCCAAAACTTGGCAGTGAAAAGTAGAACTATCGGGATTATCCTTGGCGGCCAAGATGATGACGTCACGCGACATGCGCTCGCCCCCCTGTCGATGACGTCATCACACGTGACCTCACCCCGCGACGTCACACGTGGTGCGGCGCCACGCGACGTCACCTCGTCATGAAAGCTGGGACGTATCCCTCTACAGTGGCAACCGAATACATCGGAGGACCGTTGCACGATGGAGAGGGTTAAGATATACTGCTCGACTTTACAGGCTGTAAACATTTCACGTTATGGCAGTTCGATATTTTAATAAACTCAAGAGGGCTGGGAAAAAGTGGGGGTTAAGTGGCTAACATAAAGGAGAAAAAAGATCTGTGTGTATTGTTTGAGATGGATACAATACGATATCAAGGCCTTTTTCCTGGGGTTATCGAGTCCAGCTGTCGGCATTAATGATTTAATGTGTTCAGAAGGTTGCACACCAAATCCTGAGTTGTGAGCTAAAAATCACGAATTTGTGCAAGTAAATGAACAATGGTGTACGCAAGAACAACAAACGATAAGAATATTCTACGGCTTTTGAAGAAGAAAAAACAACAACTTGATGCTGTCACTTAAACTGTCAAAAAATTTAACTAGTTTGTATTTTACCAGGTAAGGCCCAATGAGCTATATAGCTCGTTTTTCAGAAGCAACCTGGCCACAAATGATAGCTCAATGAAGTGGCTTATCACGTGGAAATGTACCGTAGCCAAACTCCAAACTGACAGGCGTCAGGGTCTGAATCGAACTCCCGACCTCCTGCATACCAGGCGAGGAAGTTAAGATCTCGCCACAAAGAGTACGGCCACCGCAGAGCTAGAGCAATGAGACCATCAGTCGTTGTGCAGAGCGAGATAGTTGCTCGCACCGCTAGAGCATTTGGGGTGGTGACGGCGTGGGGAGGCCTTCATCCAGATGTGGATAGACATTGGCTGATGACATTGACGATTCATGGTGCGTGCATTTCTGCGCTATGGTCTTGTGAGAATGGGGATATAATACATAAGGCCTGGATATGGCTAAGTGGGTTTTATTGCACACTGTGTTAAGTGGAAGTCGCTCGCTTCCCAGAATTCATCGCTGTCATAATTCTGACTCGGTGGGAACATGAATCTGCGAAATCTGTCTCGCGTGAAACGTTTATATTTTTTACCCTCATGATGATGAAGTATTTGGAGTTCATGTGTTCTCCCTGTGGTCGCGTGGATTTTTCTCCGGGTCCTCCGGTTTTCCTCCCCCACATTGAGAATCGACATCACGCACTTAGAGTATTTGGCTGCTGTAAATTTCCACAAATCAGCCACTTCGTTGTGCAATCATTGGTGATAGCCAGGTCGCTTCTGAAAAAAAAGCTTAATAGCTCAGTGGGCCTTACCCGGTGAAATAAAAACGGTTTAGTTTAATAGGCTTAGCTGAGTATGGGCCGACAAGCGGCCGCTCCGTCAGCGGTCTGGTCCATCGAATCGTACGGAATGCAAAACGCGCCGGTGTGGTGCAGTTTGCCCCGACAGCGCTCTCTCGCTTGCCGAACGCTGCGACCGCAAAAAAATAAAAAAATCGACGCCGGCAGTGACAAATGGAGCCCATTCACAGCGAAGGCGAGAACGCTCGTTTATTATCCCTTTATGCGGCCGCACCGGCCGCTCAATAAAGCGTCTCGCGACACGAAAAGGGGCGGCTTGCTGCTCCGAGAGATAAGCAGCTTCCCCCGTTGCCGTGAGCGAGAGAGAGAAAAATTACGCGAGGTGCCGGCATCGGATCGGCGCTCAAGCAAACGGCACAAACGGCGCCGTGGTTCTGCGCGGCGGTGACCGGCGGGGCGAAGCAACGCAATGAGAGGGCTCGGGGCAACGCCGCCGCCGCCGCCGCCGCCGCTGCTGCTGCCACCGCTTCGGGATACAACGATGGTGCGCTCGGGATTTGTTCACGGCTTTGTATCGCGTAGCAAAGGGCTTTTATTATTATTATATTCGTAGGCCGTGAAATTAAAACAGCTCCCGGCAAAAGGCTGCAGATGTGAAAAGTACAATGGAGTCATTCAGAACGGAACCCGTGAGAAAAGACTTGAACCGAAGAGATGCATGTTTTACGAAGTGGGCGGAGGGGGGGAAGATGAAAGCCAAAAAAAATATCATGAATAGCCACTCTTGTTGATATGAAAATATAAAATAGCAAGTAAGTGTGCATTGAGCATTACATGTATGAACTGACGTTTTTTTTACTGGTAGGAAACGTAGTGGACTGGAAGCTCAACCGGGATTAATTCACAGGAGGCAGGGGATTAATTGTGTATGTCTGTGGATGTCTGTCCACGTTGGAGGGGTGGGGCTTGGTGGAGAGGGGAGGGTAGGGAGGGGCTGGGTGGGGAGGGGCTGGGTGGGGAGGGGAGGGTGGGGAGGGGCTGGGTGGGGAGGGTGGGGCTGGGTGGGGGGTGGGAGGGGTGGGGCTGGGTGGGGAGGGGCTGGGTGGGGAGGGTGGGGCTGGGTGGGGGGTGGGAGGGGTGGGGTTGGGAGGGGTGGGGCTGGGTGGGGTGGGGCTGGTCACCCCGTGGTGCCCTTATAAAACTCAACGTTTAACCTACTCACGCCGGCTTGTGCCCGCCCTCACAGTCAGGCATATTTGCGGAATACACCACGCCACCGTTGACCCTTGCCATTGACCGAGCAACCCAACGTTCCTACCAGCTCCCTCCGCAGGAATGTGTTTCTATAATTTTTATATGTATTTTTAGTCCTGTAAAAGGGTTGCACATGATGTCAACAGGGAGTGGAGTTTAGTCACACGTGCTGGTGCCAGTTGAGACACAAGTTGCTGTTGCTGAAAGGCTGTTTGCCTGATTGCTTAATCAAGGCCTTTTTTATCGGTACGAGACCTCGGACGAAATAATTCTCAAGGTGGCGAGGAGAAAAAAAAGACAACACAAAACCGAATATTTATATTAATAGCACGGCTAATTAAAATAGTCGGTCGCGGCTGAATACGAGTTCCCATAGTTGGAAGAAAACATTCGAGCTGCACTTTACGTGTGGAATATGCAGATACATTCTACGAGTAAAGGTGCAGGCCTGAAATGTTCAACTCACGCCAAGGCTGGCTGAAGAACCTCCACTCGAGGTATCTCCAGACAGTCCCTGGAGGGTTTTAGCTTTCTCTGCAATCACACCACGGCAGAAGCCCAGATATGTTCTATAGTTGAGAGTGTATATATATTGGCTACATGTATTTTGAACTTCTTTTGCATCGTACGTAGCCAACCATGCTAATTGGAGGTGCGGGAAACATGCACACTAGCTGTAGCTTCACAATCCACGGGAGGCAAATTACTTGCTCAACTGATGAACATAACTGTAGACTTCTAAGTGTTTAGCAGGAGATTGTAAAGCAAAATGGAAGTTTTGGCTGTCCCCGCCCTATGAGTAAAACCAATCAATGACCAGGCCATTGCGTTGAATGGCCTACATTTTTACTTGTTCTCGCAAGTTCTAAGCATAGGCGAGCTTATACTGACGCCACATTTCAGCTCCGGCTCCCTGGGTAGACAATCTGAATTTCAGTCACCACAGTCACAATCCTCTACATGCACTGTGTAGTAATAATAACGCCATGTCAATCAAGGAGGCTGTTTGACCGTACTTCATGCTGATTCAGTCAGTGTCGGTTAGAGAAGGGGACACACCCTGGACCGGTTCAGACATCACTCGCCACCGCCGTGACCGGGAATCGAACTCGGGTCTGCAGCTTTAAAGCGCCGTGTGTGCAACGAGCGAGCCACTCGGGTTCCGTTATCTTTGACCAGGAATCGAACTCGGGGATCTGCAGCTTCAAAGCGCCGCTCGCGAACCACTGCACCCGCCGCTTCCGCCACCGACGATGGCAAATGTAACAATTCGCTTCAAAGTCACGACCTACGAGCACGCGTCTCTCTCCTTCCGATAAAACGGAAGCTCAACAATAAAAGCCACGAACGAGCACTCGGGATCCGCTGCTGCTGCTGCTGCTGCTGATGCTCGGCGTTACTATGGCGACATTGCGCGTCCGTGCCGCACGCACGCACGCGCGAGCAGCGAGTCCCCCGTCCGCCGGTCGATGTGGCCAAGACAAAATGATGAGCGCGGAGGGCGCTTGAGTTGCGAGAGAGCCCCCATAGCCAGAACGGAGAGTCCCGCGCTTGCATTGTGACAAAAAAAAAATCAAAACCAAGCGCAGAGGCGAGCTCTCTCCTCCACCCGCATGTGAAATAAGATCCGGGCGGGCGCATTTGTCAGCGCCGCAGATAAAAAGGCACTCGTACGTAGCGGCGATACCGGCAGTGCATTCAATGTTCCAAATGTCACGCGGAGGTAAAGAGCCTCCGTGAATGAAGAGCGCGGCCGCCCGTGTCGCGTGGAAGTGCGACGGAAAAACAATCTGCACCGAAGGCGACGCACGCAACAACGGACGGGAAATAAAAGAAGGGGCCGTATCGCTTACAAAAAAAAACCCATTTTAAACGTTAACCGCACGTCCGTAATCTGAGGTTGCTATTTTCCATTTTACGAGTAAAAACATTAAGCCAATGCTAAGCCCAACGCATGTGCTAATTGAGTAAATATTCAACGTTGCACACCTGTGTTAACATTTTTTGCAACATTTTCAACCACGTTGCATTTAAAGATCTTACACGTTCAAAATGTGATCTTATCCACGATGCTTTGAAGAGGACATTTCATTTGAGGACAAATATAACTCGCAATAATCAATACAGCGTTAGTAACAAAATACAAATGCTGCCGTATATTCTCCCTTCCCACAGTTGTGGGAAGAATGGGATGTGTAAATATACATGTTTCATGTTATTCATTGTGTTACTTTAATCAAAATAAGCGGACGTTTAACCAGCCGAGTGGTGATGGTTGTGACGACACCACCCATCTCGTTATTATATTTAATTCTGGTTGCAATCTGACTTAAATGTGACTTGAAGTTTAAATTGTATTCTTATAATAATAGCTTCTTATGAATTAGGCTATAGTCGAATTGTTTCATGTGTTTGTTTTAAATATTATTCAAATATTAAGAATCAAAAAACCTGTATTAAAAGGTTAACAATGTAACCACCTCCACCCCCTCTAAATATCGACTCCCCACTGCTGTCATGAGAGACATAAGAACAGAGCACGGAATGTGGAACAACGCAATATCCGATTCACAAATACGAAGGAGGCATCGTCACGGCGATTCACAACTCCGCTAATGCTGACGCAATCATCTCGGGGTTTCAACCACCTCACCGCACAATTACAGCTGTTGGCCTCCATCAACACCAGCGGCCACACAAAGACGACGTGGAGAGAGAGAGAGAGAGACAAGGCTTCTGCTCACCTCACTGAGAAGTCGTAAGAGCAGGAAGCCAAGACGGTCGGCTGAAATGGAGAACACTGCAAAATGAAAAACACGTTCCGTTAAACGAGCTGGTGGCCTCACTTTTACGGTGGTGCTGGGGCAGAGAGCTCCGCTCATAACCGGTGAACGCAGGCCCCAAATCCTGGCCAGGGGGGGTCGACTCAGTGGACGACAAACCATTAGCTAAAACCCAGTTGAGCTTCACTAGGTAATGAACTCGGATCTTGAGTGGAGTTCACTCCCTGACTAAGCTCAAAGCAAGTTATAGTGAAACGCCGTCTTGCGTTGATGTTGAATTTTGTCATGAACAGTCTTTAGCCACCAGTGAGGAGGTTCATCGGTCACTATTTGATATGTCGGCACGGATAGAAAATATCTTTGTAAATGTGATAATCTTGATTTAAAGCTTTCGTGACTGCAGTAATTCATATTCTTAGCTCTTTCGGTAAAGTCACATTGAAGGGAAACAATAAAATAATAAAATATATATTATTTTATTGATTGTTCACGCTTATAGTGGCTTTCAGACAGCATACATTAATTTTTTCGTCTCCCCCCTCCTCTTTTCAGAACATAGATGGACTCGTCCTTCTAAATAAACTGCCAAATCGCTGCGCGTGGTGCTAACGGTTTTTATAAATAAATACAAACACCGTTTATAAATAAATAAATACAAACCGCCACTTCTTTCAAATGTTTCTTGCCGTTGGTTTTCACACCTGATGATGACCGTTTGTGTTATGGTCGAAACGTCGTGAGAATTTTTTGTTTTATATATATTTTATTATTTTATTGTTTCCCTTCAACGTGACTTTACCGTTGGGTGGGGGAGGGGCTAATGGAAATAATTGTGGAACAAAACCGCGACCACGTGGCCTAACCCACCCATGGCTGTGAGAGTTGTAAACATGTGTCCCATTGGCAATTGAATTGGATTTGTTCAGGTTTGCGATCCATTTCAGGAATAGTTTTTTTTTTATGCAACAGTGAATATAGCCAATCAATTACAGGTTTCTCTCGCTTTACAACCAAATTTCGCTATATGCGGGTTGAATTCACTCGCATGCGGCTATGCAGTCGGAAGTGCGACGACGTTGTGTGTGTACTGCATCACCCCCTACTGGCAGGCCATAACGATTTGCAGGCCGGTCGGTGCAGTGTGTACCTTGTGTGCCAAACAGGAAAGGATCTCCTTGGCTCGACTGCACTAGGACACCGGAGCAGTTGACATGAGTTGCGATGGAAGGCAACCGAGTTTATGAGGTCACACTCATTACACACAAAGCGCTTACCACAAATGAACCACAATGCCTTGCCGATCTCGTCGAGGAGCATAAACCATTATGTAGACTCTGGTGATCCTCGCAGCGGATTTTGTCTAACCGTGGAACAAAGACGGTGGTCACTGCATCGTGTGCTCTAAGATGCACTTCTGCGGCCGTCTGGACCGCTCTTCCTTTCGATATGAGGAAGCCACTGGTGCTATGCACTTTTAAATAACACAGATTGAAAGCTCGTTTCTTTCCAACTGTTTTTTGTGTTTAGTTTGCTGTCCTTCCCCCACACCTCCGATTAGTGCGGTTGGCTACGTACGGTGTGAAAAAAGTGTAAACGCACATACAAACGAGCCATTTAAACAAACGCCCTAAAAACCTCGAATCCTAAACCCTTACCCTGACTCTCCGTATCGCGTACGAGTGTCCGAGCAGGCTAAACACCGGCTGCCGGATGTTTCGCAGGTCCCAGCCGCGGATGCCACAATCCACGGCGGCAGAGACCAGCAGATTCTGTAAACGTTCACGGAAATTTTTTTTTTATCAATTAAAGATGCAAGTAAATTAAAAACCCAACGGTTCCCAATGCAGAGACGTCTGCGGCATTACCCCAGGTTGTTCGACAAGATGCAACGAAGTGACATCGCAAGAGCAGTCTGGCTGGAGTGATTACCCCGGTTTTTTTCCATTCAAATTTAAGATGCAGATTATGATATCGGCATCGTGTTATGAGAAGGAGCATCCATTTGGATCTCTCGCAGAACAATGTAATCCTTCATGTGAAGAGAACGGTCCATGGAAGCGGACAACACAGAGCTACCTCTGAAAGCCCTTCAAGTGACCTCTGGTGTGAGGGTTTTTTTTCAACGGTTTTACTTAACTTGACTCCTGTGTCGTGGTCAAATCTTGTAATCAAAATGTAGTCTACTTCTTGTTGTCCAATCAATTCAAAATTTTGCACACGTACTCAGATCCAGTGACAATGCATGCCTGTAATCAAACTCGGGCTACTTTAAAGCAATTTACATTTTGTATGGACGCCTTATTATTTATATATTTGTGTAGGTCAAAAACGCCGCGGTCACTAAACTCTCGAATCGCCTCGCCCAAGAAGCAGGCGCCACGTGTCTCAGGCGACCGTGAATTTAACCGTTGTTTTTAAAGAACGCTTTTTTGAAGGAGTTATTCAGCTGTGCGGTCATCGGTAACCAGGCTGAGACTATCAACTCTCTCTACTTAACAACCCAGATTAAATACAGGCGGGTGCGCGGGATTCCAGCCCAAGATCTCAACGGCGCCACCTCCGTTTAGCTCGTGGCTTTAGCGCTGCGGTCACCTGGTCGTACTTGCACCAATCGCAGCTGAGGACCTCCTCCTGGTGGGCGGGGATGACGATGCGCGCCGCGTGCGGGCTCTTCACGTCCCACACTCGCAACGTCTGGTCGCCTGGTTAAGCGGCGCGCGCACGGCGCGAGAGAACATTCAGCACAACGAGTAACCCATACGTTTTTTTTGGGTTAGATCGCGTAAATATAAATGTGTCGTTAAACCCGCCAGCACCCGACACAGCCAATTAGTAAGGTTTGTCACGTAAACAAAACGCGCCAATTAGTTACTGGTTCAGCACAGCGGTGTGTTGGAGAGCAAACCCACCACAACATTTACAATTCCAGCACCGTGACGTTTCGCCGGTAATTACAACCAGCCTCATCAGGCGACAGCCTGCGTGTTAAACTGACGGCGAGTAATGTCCGCGCAGGAAGGAAGCCACCCGCCCTCCCCCCCTGCTGGCCGGCTGGTCGGCCGGAGCAGCGCAGCGATCACAGCAAGCAGATTGCACTTGGAAAGAAAGCATCGAGGCATCCCGGGATAGATTAAAAAAGAAAAGTACCACGTTCTGGGATGTCAACAGCTGTTGCCTTATGGAAAGGCTTGCCTCTGATAAATATTAAAAGTTTTTTTTTTATTTAACCAGGTAAGGCCCACTGAGCTATTGAGCTATTTTTCAGAAGCCACCCGGCCACAAATGATAGCTCAACTCAGTGGCTTATTTATAGCAGCCGAATACTGTTGTTTCATTCCTGTTGCTGTTCCCCCTGTACCGTTCCCATTCTGCGGCAATGTGCACCGATGCACTACTTTATTGAGGACGATATTGTTAAGTAAAGGAAAGATTGATTGAGTAAACAAACATTTAAGACTTCCACAACTCATCAACGAGTACAAATGTAGCGGATCTCTCCTTGCGGCCTTGCGTTAACTCATCGCGGCACCTTCCTCCTCGAGACAAACAATGCCTACCGGACGCGGAGGCGAAGCACGATGGGATGTGCGGAGACCACACGGTGCTGTACACGACGCCCTCGTGCCCGCGATACTCGGCCAGAGACGACAAGACCGCGGGGTCCCACTGCGGTGGTAAACAACGCCACGTTCGGCAGAGTCACGACGATGATGCCGTCGTCATCATCGTCGTCATCGCCACGAACGATCCAACGCTCGTAGTTTTATACAGTACCATACACCAAGGCGCTTTACAACAATTGTAAAATTGTATAAAATGGTCAGTGCTGGTTGGCGAAGGTTGGTAAAAGGAAAAATCGATCGTGTCTCTTGTTCTTCCTTGCGATTATCGACAACGCTATGAACCGAAACGGAACAACACTAATTGTACACGAGATATGCTCACTCACCACTCTGGCCGTATGGTCCCATGATCCCGACACCACGAGGTTCTCTCCTCGGGTCTGGCTCCAGTCCACGCTGTAAACCTGCGCCCATCATCATCATCATAATCATCAACGAGCGGTCACACATTCACGCAAACACAAACGGAAACCCGCTGCAATACAAGGTGAGCGTATTGAACGGTTGCTTGCGTTGTATTTTAGATTATGTCCCGAGTCGATAAATATTTCACATTTAATATTATCGGCAAATCAAAGAATTAAGGGAAATGACAAATGTTTAAAGCATTCATGGAACGCGACCACAAAACAATAATCACCCCAAAACAAAACAGTGCATCAAACAGAGGTCAAAACTCAAGCAATGTAAATCAACCATATTATTGACTTTTTTGTAATCCAATTAACTTAAATGGTGCGCCATCCAATAACATTCAAAAATAAAACGTGAACGCTCACGCCAACGCAATTGGGTCCCTAATGGAGCTTATTGATCGTAGTGTTGTTTTTAATGGGTTGATAGGGGAAATATATGCATAAATACCACACATCTGCACAATCTGTTTGGAATTCAGAAAAAGGCATTTTCCGCTTCGGCCCTTACACCAACGGCTAAGAATGCGTCAGGATTTGACCCGTCCGTTAATGCATTTTTACGTTTTACAATCCTGCTCATCTGTAATGAAGGCCGATAAACCCATGGCACAGAATGAATGTCTCATCCCAGCTCTGCCACTGTGGGTCACGGAAACTACGATGCTCTCGTGATGAATTAATATTCCCAATACAGGTTCCTCCCACCCATGCAGTGGTATGGAGAATGCCACTGCATGTACGTACGTAGCCAACCGTGATAACAGGAGGTGCAGGCGTAGGACAACAAACAAAAAAAGCAGTTCTCAAAAATTTGTTTTTTTTTATCAAGATTTTAAAAAGCACAGCGCCAGTGGCTTCCTAATATCGGAAGAGCATTCCAGACGGCTGCAGAAGCAGGGGCGGAGCCAGGGGGGGGGTGACAGGGGTGACATTCTGCGTATAAGTGTACGACACTCGGTCTGGCGGACTCCGTCCAACTGCATTGTCAGAGTGTGTCGCCAACCGATGGCGTCTCGTTAAAATTTGTTGAATGTCACCCCGGCCTGAAATCCTGGCTCCGCCCCTGTGCAGAAGCGCATCTGAAAGCACGCGATGCAGTGACGTGACGATGAATGAACATTCCTAAGACAGGTGTCTACCACCCACGAAGCAGTAGGGAGAGCACATGCTGACAAAGCTGTGCCTTCAAGCACAGTCGTAAAACTTCCTTCAACACATTTTTCAGCACTTTCCGCATACTATCCTGGACCTTTGCCAGAACGGTAACTTTTGTTTGGCCATCTCATGCCAAACTAAGTCTGAACTCCTTATATCGTTTAACTCAGAGCCGTGTAGCGTTTGACAGTCGCTGAGATATTAACTCGTACTTCTCTCGCCCAATTCACTTTGAACTCTCTAGGCTCAACAGGCTAATACAGCACAGAAGCTGGATATTAACTGCCTTGCCTGGTCTACAGGAGGTTGTGGGTTCGATCCCCCCCTGACGACTGCTGCATATTTGGAGTTTGCGTGCCTCTTTCCCTGTGGTCGCGTAGATTTTTTATCTGGGTCCTCCGGTTTTTCCCTCCACACTTATGAACGTGCATTTAGAGTATTTGGCTGCTATACATTTCCACATTGAGCTATCAATTGTGGCCAGGTGGCTCCTGAAAAGGAGCGATATAGCCCAGTGGGCTTTACCTGGTAAAACAAAACAACAGGCGTAGTAGTGAATATGTAGCCATGTAAATGGATTCACGGTAGTGTAGCGCCAGTATCGAGAGAAGAGTGGAGCTGCGTGTATTAGGTCTCTCTCTAATGCCAGAGCGAGTATGGCATAGAAAGGCTCTCTAGGGGGCATAGTTCTGGTGACGGTGGGAGAGAGGTCGGGCGAGGACGTGGTACTCTGAGTGAACCCGAGAGGGCACGTGACAGGACGAGGAGGCAAGGGGGGCCCAGAAGGGGTTGAGAGGGACACGTGATGTAGGGGCCAGACTCTTCGAGAAGGAGCCGAGTCCCGAGCCCGATCGAGGATGTTCATCTCTGGGAAGAAATCCGCTGTCTTCGTTCCTCGCTCCTCGGTCTCCGGTCGTCACGCACGTGGACCAGGCAGTTTGTTTGCTGTCCTGGTCCGACTGAAGAGTTATCCCATCAAGGGGTGCGTGTAGTTAGCCGTGGCGGTCACCACCCTAAGTCGTTATCCCGTAATGTTAATCGTTACCCTGTGGTGATAGTTAATAAATGTGTTGCCTCCAAGATCAAGTGTGCGCCTCAGTTGAACCCGCTACGAATATTCGCACATTCCACGTAAGCACATTCTCTCACAGCAGCAACACGACACATGCCTGCACGTTTCCCCCCAGCCGCACCTCTTTGGTGTGGCCCTGGTAGACACGCAGGGGCCCCTCAGGCTGCGACGCGTCCCACAGCTGCAGGGAGCCGTCGCCGGAGCCCGTCACCAGCACGTGCTCATTGTCCTCGCTCCACGCCACGTCGAAGAGGCTGTCGTTCCACTCGAACCTGCGCGAGCGGCACGCGCCGTCGTCGTACGAGCGTTCCGCATAGGTTGAAAACCGATTCCTCTCTGCGGCCGTCTGGAACGCTCTTCCGACCGATGTTAGGAAACTACTGGAGCTACGCACTTTTAAATATCGATTGAAAGCTCATTTCTTTAGAACTGCTTTTCGTGTTGAGTTAGTTGTCCTTCCGCCTGCACCTCCGATTAGCATGGTTGGCTACCTACGGTGCGAAAGAGGCTCAACGTACAACACGTTCAAGGCCACGCAAGTCTGCACACTCAGAAGACTGCTGGATGTGCGTATGAACTTCTTTCGCACCGTACGTAGCCAACCGTGCTCATCGGAGGTGTGGCTGATGATGAACATCTTCGGCCACGATAAACCCACGGCGAGATGAAGGCCTACCCAAGCCACCGTCATCTCGCACGATCCTGCGATGTGATAATCCACCCAACACCTGCACAGGAGCTGATTTCAATCACTGAGATTCCTCTGTGGAGGTCCTCTAAGACGTCTTCCACTCCCTGGCAGCTACTCCCATTGTTAACATTGACCATCGGTGTACATCCCTGCCAACGGACACATCCTGCCCAGGCCCACTCACTTTTCTTGACAGTTTGAATTATGCCTTGACCCAACGTGTGTTCTCAAATCCATGTTCCTAATTAGTGGATCATGCTCATCTCAATTTGGCAGTCCTGAGCCCATGTGGGAAATTCCACATTGCCATGGCCAGTGGAGACTAATCTATCCAAAGCACAACCAAAGTTGAGATTCACACGTGCACATTTAGTGGAACATCAAGAGGTTATGATGGCCAATGATATTAATAAAAGTGGCCATTGATGTTCATAAAATATGTGGGAACTGAGTGCTCACTGTGATAATTAAACAGTACATTTAAACAAAGACAAATCGGTCAGAGCATGACGTACGGTGCTTTATCATTACTAATAATAATTCACATTTATAATTCGAATTCCATCGTAGGATCCCAATGTGCAAGACTAGATAATTGAAACCTTTTCGTTGCAACCTTCGTCACCTTACGAGCCGTACACGCAGCATTATTGCAATCGCACCTCACTTAAAAACATTATACGAACATTATATTAAGTTTCCTTTTGTCCCCGTGATGTGCATGCCCCATTTTTTCTACAGCATCAAAAGATGTAGTTGTATTTAGTTGTTACGTGAATGCCATTTGGACTGTACTCAAACGCACTATCGCTTGCTTCCGCTTGATAGATCACGCAGCTGTTATGTTTAACACCTGCCCTCTGGTAAGGTACGCTCAGGCATTACTCCATGGCTTCATAATGACTGTGCTCACAGAGTTGCGTCACTCACGCAAAACAACTGTGCACAATCCACAACCCACGGAGCTGCATTTTTAGTCACGTGTTTTCAGCCACCCAACGAGTGTAGGGAGGAAAACCAGAGCACCTGGAGAAATCCCGCGCATGCGAGGGGGAAACACTCTATCCCATACAGAAGGGCCAGATGACATTAACCCTTTTCCCATAAATAGAGACCCAAGACCGCGAAGGACCTTATTACAAGTGGAAGGATTCTTAATCAACATGTGGTGTATGTGGGCGAGCGGTGCTTGTACAGACGCAGGTGGGCGTACCTCCGCAGTTCGGTAATTCCCTCTGGGGTCTGGTGCAAAATCAAGAGGCTCCCAGACCCTGCGTGCAAAGCACACACCACACACGCATGAGCTCAGGCACAAGAGTTCACATGGGTTTTCTGCATTTGCACAGCCATTTTTGTAAGTGGTTGTCATTCAGGCTGTGGTGGAAATTCTAACGAGATGTGACGTCTGATTATAATCCAATGGGGACGGTGCATTAAGTTTGATAAAAGCACAGCTCTCCGATGTGTTTGTGTTGCACTGCATGTTGATGTCTGACAATTCGTTCCACATGCTGGGAGCTTCAACCCAGTCCAGTGCTGGAAGCTTCAACACGCACCTGTTTAAGGTCCCGGCAGGCGGAGCGATACGTCGGACATCGTACTGAACAACACGCGGTATAAAGCACATCGTCAAAAACCTACTCAATATTATCGATAAAAGTTAATCTAGGGTCGGGATCGAACCTACGGCCACCTGCAGACTAGGCGAGGGAGATAACATCTAGCCACCGTGGCATCCACTACTTTGCTTGTCATCAGCCATGGTCTATACACCGCTGGATGAAGACCTCCCCATGCTGTCAGCCTGTCCCTTACGGTCCAGTGTTGGTGCCATCCATCTCACTCCCGCATGTCAACTGATCTCGTCGCTCCATCTCCGCAGTGGTGGTCTTCTTGGATTCCTTCCTCACTTTGGCTACCATTCCGTCACCCGTTTCATCCACGAGCCATCACACTGTAAAGGGACGCGCGTCCAGCATGATGTCTCTTTATTTGTATGTGTTCCCCGACAGGCGCATATGACAGTCATCTCTTCTATGAATAGCTCTAATGGGATAACAACAAGTTCTTTGTAAGAAGACCTTGCATCTTTTATATGAGATGGGCAATATCCCCAGGTAGGTTTGGCCTTGGATATTGTCACAGGACATATACGTCCACGGGGCAGGGGATGCAGCCACATTATAAATACAATCTGCCCCTCAATCACCCCATGGAGGAATGGGACATCAGTTTTAGAGAACAAGCAGTGCTAATGTAAATCATTCCAAAAGGATTACCAGTTGCTGGTAAGTCACACCCATTGAATGTTGGCGATATCATCTGTTGAGGTTAAGTTCAGCCTTCACGTCCTTTCAAATCAGAAAATTGTAGTCGCCGCGTTCTAAGTCGCTCCGGAAAGTAAGGCGCATGCCCAAATGTGTCCCCTGCGAACAATAACTCTCAACAAAACTGGTCGCACAACCAAACGCACCGTCCGGATAAGCGGACGCTTCCCTAGCTTTTGCTTTAAAAGACAGGGGGGTAAAAAAAAAAGGGGTGAGTCTTCTAACATGGAGAAGACTGCAATTTAGTCTCCAGCGGGCAAAAAACACAAACGCCGGGCATGGTGGCACATGCATGAAATCAAGCACTTTCGAGGCAAGGCCTAGGGGATCACGGACATTTATGAATATTCCAAACCAAGGCCAGTGGTGGCAATAGAACACAATGTGCTCGTGAACCTGTCTGTGCGGACCTGTTGAGTGTTATCCCCCACACGCCTAATGAATGTTTGTTTTTCTGAAGGTCCTTCAGTTTCCTCCCACATGCCAAACAATTAGACAACAATAAAATCACCCACGTGTATGGAGTGTGTAAGGCTTCACAACATGCGTGTGTCCCTGTATCTGGACAACATTTAATGTAAGCTGCTGTCAGAGGGAAAACACTGCCTCGCTCAAATAGCCATTTTCGTGCTGGATTGTGCGTGCAGCTTTTGGGCAACCCTTTAAACAATTTGGCCAGTTTCTATAGGGTAAGTCCCCAACAGGAATGCAACATTGAACTTCAGTTTCATATATATTGGATGTATCATGACCCCATGTTATAGACCCACAGCGCTAACAGCTATCGACGTTGCCAACCTCAGTTGAAAGCAATGAAAATGAGTGTTGAAATATACCTATGAAATACCGCCTCTAGAAACAAATTATATTTAAATGTCATTGTGCAAGGGTAAAGCTATCATTTAACTCTCTCGCATAGCGCAGACTTTATATTTCCTGAAGCTGCCGTTGACGGTTTACATCACATGATCGCACACACCCGTGTGCTGCCCGGTGTATTTTTGGCACCTGTTACTATTTCAGGATGCACCCCTATACCGTGCGACCCTGCCAAAGGGGTCACGGAGTTTACGCGATTGCCCTGAGCGCGTGAATAATAATAACAACAATCATAGTGGCGGAGAGGCACCGAATTCAGGCGACAAAAACGCAATTTTGTCTCGCTGGCAGGGGGGGAGGGGCGGGGAGGGGAAAAAAAACAAACCGGCGTGCCGTGTCGTTTACCGGCGATGCCAAAGTACTGTGATGCGGCGCACGCCAGCTGAGCGGGAAAGAACGGAGAGAACTTGACGGAGTAGCCGTGACGCGCCGGGACACGGAATGTCCGCACGCCAGACTCTGCCATGGGGCCCTCGTGTTCGGCGACAGCGCAAGGCGCTCACATCGCGGACCTGCAACCCGTCACATGCGCACGATTATTTATATCCACCTTCGGTCAGGCGGCCTCTCGGCGGAGCCAGGCGGCGCGCGCACGGAGATACGTGACGTGGCGCGGAGAAGTCGCGCAGTTAAACCGAAAGGAAATATCGTTGAATCCGACGGCTACCGAGCTTTAGTCCGGACTGACGTGGTCCAGGAGCACGTGTTCAGGCAAGGCGATCGTAGAACAGCTTTGACCGCATCTTATACGAGCACGCAGCGGTGGCCTTGTAAAACTCTGCCACCGTGTAGCTGTATGTTGTCGACGATGGCGATTCAAATTCCTTCTCAATGCGTTTGGGCGAGATCCCAAACGTGTTAAAACAAATATATTCAACATTACATTAACAATGCACAATGAGCACAATTAATAATCATAACCTTGACATGTGATCGTGTATGACAATCGACAATGTCTGTAGTTTGTTTTGAGCCATTAGTATTTAGTTGCAAGCATTAAATTTATATTTTGGTTTGAAAAATAATAATAATTTGGTCTTCTAGCATTTACTAACAGCTATACCCTACTCATATTGTTATCGAGTAAAACATATTTATTAATACTATGAAATATATGTTACCAATATGATTGCGAGTTATTTATTAACCTTTTCCCATGCCGATGACGTATATGTACGTCATCGCCAGTGTAAGTCATGTAAACGGAACCAGAAGAAAAGGCCATGCAGGAGGGCGTGTGGCAGTTTGGCGCCAGCTACAGTAGTGTGGTCATGTCGCTACAGTTCTCTGCGGCGAGTACAATGTCGTTACGCCTCTCAAAATACAATGAACGATGAACCGCTTGCGCGTTCCGAGATTCAGCGGTGAACGGGACACCCCCCCACCCTGCAACTTGCAGTGCATCTCGGAACGGGAAAGGGTGAATGTGAATCAGAGATTAAGAAGTGCTGTTGTTACTGCCAACGAACCAGCTATATTTACACCGGACACATTCTAAACTTTGTACTAATATCCTATCAGAAGATTGATGGGACAATAACAAATAGAAAACATCTATTTTAAGATAACCTTTAATTGATTGATTATATTTGACATATATAACTTGAGTAGCTGACACTGACTGCATCTTATATTGGCAATGTATGTCTGCTGTGCGCGTCTGGCCTCATGTCTGCCCGTGGCGTCAGGTTTTGTATCAATAGCTTGGACATGGACGTGTACAGGATGGAGGAGACGACGTCTGGTGGCGTGAGCCAGGCACAATTCGTACTCTCACGCTTTGACCAATGCACAGATGCTTGAGATGTAATTTACAGGATAATTGAAAAGTATGGTGGATGTGTACCGTGTCTGGCCCTTTTATTAACTCATACGGCAGCCTATAAAGCACACAAACCAATCGAGAAACGAAGTGTTATGAACACATGGGCCTCACATGGGTACAGCACATGCCTGTGATCCAGCGCTTGGGAGATGAGGGTTGTTGGATCACGCAGAGATTTGAAAAACTCCCATATACGCTGTGTTGTTAAGGTGAGCAGGAGATAGCAGTACAGAAAATACATTTTGAATTGATCTGTGCAGAGCTCTGAATGTTAGCCCCTGGAATGGACGTGCTTTCTCTAGGAAGCTGGGTTTCCTCTCCTAAGCTAAGCACTGATTAATTCAATTGGCCAAATATATCAATTCACGATCCTCTGCCAAAAAAATATTGAAATTCTGAGGATTTAATTGGAAAAGTGCATTATTATTGTTTCCTGGATGACATAAATAACATTACTGATGTGGGAATGTTTAAATAATAACCATTACATATAACTGCATGTAATAATCGACAATGCTTGCATTTTATTTGTCATCAATCACAGCAGTGTTTTGTAAACTACAATATGTTTTACACTGTGTGGGATTGTCCAAAATCCACGACCAATATCATCCATAATATAGGTTTTTAATATTTACGCCATCTAACCCAAAAAAGCTATAATATGGATCAACCACACCACGATCAATAAATTTACCACGTGGCCTAACCCAAAACAAAATGCATGGATCACACACACACACTCGTGTTGATACAATGATGACGATGCTGATTATGTCCAAAAGATATCATTCCTCATCCTGCAGCGAGTGCTCCTGGTTTTAGTGGTGACGATGACAACAGTGCACTCTTCACATCTGAGCTGAAACAGACCTCTGCATTGCAGCAGCCGCCTGTATATTTGTAGTTTGTGTGTCTCTCTCTCTCTCCCCGTGGACGCGTGGATTTTTCTCGAGGTCCTCAAGTTTTTCCCTCCACATTTAGAAGCATGCTTTATGAGAGCATTTGACTGCAATACATTGCCACGTGATAAGCCACGTGATGCTTGGGCGATCTTTTGCGGCCAGTCCGCGTCTGAAAGAAGAGCAATATAGCTAAATGGGCCTTTCCTGGTAAAATAAAAGAATGGTTTAAAGTGTATGCTTGAGTACAAAAAAAGGCACAAGGTCCTGCATTAGAGTGTGGATGTTACTGTCACGAAAGGATCCCACCCCCACCGTATAGCACGAACAGACTGTTGGGGCAAGTGCTGCGATTGAGCATCTATGAAGGCCGGCACGGCACACCAAGAGGTGGGTGGCCAGCACCACGCTCGGACGCCTTCCGCACCCCCAGTGCACAGTAATTTTACACAGTGCACATCAGCATGTTTAGACATCAGCACTGTGCACTCATCTGAGGCCGAGTCGACCTAGGGGAGGGCCCACCGGGACCTGTTCAAACAATCCGTCACGAGTTATATTGGTCGTTGAGCGCGAATCGAACTCGGGTCGACGGGGTTCGTATCGCAGCGCGCTAACCACTGCACCACCGTTCCCCAGACCCGCACACGTGAGACGGGGGGGGGGGGGGCATCTCAGCAGCGCGCTAACCACTGCACCACCGTTCCCCAGACCCGCACACGTGAGACGGGGGGGGGGGGCATCTCAGCAGCGCGCTAACCACTGCACCACCGTTCCCCAGACCCGCACACGTGAGACGGGGGGGGGGGGCATCTCAGCAGCGCGCTAACCACTGCACCACCGTTCCCCAGACCCGCACACGTGAGACGGGGGCGGGGCATCTCAGCAGCGCGCTAACCACTGCACCACCGTTCCCCAGACCCGCACACGTGAGACGGGGGGGGGGGGGGGGCATCTCAGAAGCGCGCTAACCACTGCACCACCGTTCCCCAGACCCGCACACGTGAGACGGAGGGAGCATCATTTGCGCGAGCGACTCGCGAGGCGACCACGCCACCTGGTGGACGCGCGGCTGAGTGAAGAAGGGGGTTGCAGGGCCACGCTGCGATGGGCACACGTGCGGTACAACAACCGCCATTCGCCACTAAGTGGCGGTGACGTCACCACGACGCTTGTGCCAGGCCATGTGCACCTTGAGGCCACGTGAAGTGTCGAACGCCCGCTGGCAGGAGGTCACGGGGCAGCCTCAGGTGGTGCCACGGGTCGACTGACTGAGATGACTGAGATGACTGGCTGATGCACCACCTGTGCCCCCTACTGTGCCAACCTGCTGTGACGTGCGGTACGAGCACAATCACAGTCGCATGCATATAACACAGGAATCATCAGCATCGTCGGCCAGGATCACTCCGCTGCTGGATGAAGGTCGCTATCTCTCACGATCATGCGATGAAGCGATAAGAAACCAAGGAAGCAACTCCTTCACTCGAGCCAATTCCACCGCTCCATCTCCTCGGTGGACGTTGTCTCGGACGCCAATAATCTTAGCGATGCAATGGACATTCAACACTGCATCCTTGTCTTGTGGAAGAGACCAAAGTCCTAGCAATGGTGTAAATGACACTGCGGACGAGATTTAACACTGCAGTTCAGTTAACTACAAAGGTAAAGGTGCAGCCCTGAAAGTTCTTGCAAGTTCAGGTACTAATCGCGCGAGATCTAGAGGGCCCCTCCATAGCGTGTTTGGCCTACTCTTCCACGCTGCACTCGCCGCGCCTGGAGACCCAACATCAGGCGACGCCAGGACGAGTACAGTGCGGGTGTTACTGTACAGACTGCACTGTGAACCACGTGGCATCGCTTCAACTCGCGATACATTTTTAACGCGTTAATACATCATGCACGTAAGTGTGTATCTATGTGCGTGTGTATATAAGTGTGTATCTATGTGTGTGTGTATATAAGTGTGAATCTATGTGTGTGTATATGTGTGTGTTGGCTTAGTAGGGGGCACAGGTGGTGCACCAGCCAGTCATCTGTCATCTCAGTCAGTCGACCCGTGGCACCTGGGTCTGCCCCGTGACCTGCCCGCGGGCGTTCGACACTTCACGTGGCCTCAAGGTGCACATGGCCTGGCACAAGCGTCGTAGTGACGTCACCGCCACTTAGTGGCGAATGGCAGTTGTTGTGTATATATGTGCATCTATGTGTGTATCTATGTATATCTATGTGTATATATGTGTGTGTGAATATGTGTGTGTGTATATGTGTGTGTATATGTGTTTTCAACTGAGCAAAACTAAAACGTGTCGCACTTACACTCGCGACTTGCCTAGGACTGCGACCACTCGGCCCACGGAGACCCCGGCGAGTACACGTCATCGCGTAACGCGTGACGCCATCGCGTTGTGACGTCATCGCGTAACGCCGTCGTGTTGTAACGTCATCGCGTTGTGACGTCGCGTAACGCCGTCGCGTTGTGGCGTCATCGCGTAACGCGTGACGCCGCCGCGTTGTGACGTCATCACGTAACGCGTGACGCCGGCGCGCTATGACGTCATCACGTAACGCGTGGCGTCGTCGCGCTGTGACGTCATCGCGTGACGCCGGCGCGTTGTGACGTCATCGCGCAACGCGCGACGCCGGCGCGTTGTGACGTCATCGCGTAACGCGTGACGCCATCGCGTCGTGACGTCATTGCGTAACGCGCGACGTCACAACGCGTGACGTAGTCGCGCACCGACTGTGACGTCACGCGTCAACACGACCTTCGCTTCATTCGATAACCAATGAATGACGCCAACGCGTTCGTCGGTCACGCCTCGCGTTCTGGCCGTCTCAATTGCACACGAGAGACAGAACATTGCCCGAAACGTCGCTTTTAGTCATCACCGTCATCACGATCCGTGGGCAGATCGCCCATAGGAGGTGTCCACTGGACATGTCGTCATTTGTTTTCACGTTCCGCTGTCTACTGGTTGCCAATATGCTTCAGTAGTGGCCACATTTCTCATGGCCACATCTCTCATCGCACCAATCTCTCATGGCCACATCTCTCATGGCCACATCTCTCATGGCCACATCTCTCATGGCCACATCTCTCATGGCACCAATCTCTCATGGCACCAATCTCTCATGGCCACATCTCTCATGGCCACATCTCTCATGGCACCAATCTCTCATGGCCACACCTCTCATGGCACCAATCTCTCATGGCCACATCTCTCATGGCACCAATCTCTCATGGCCACATCTCTCATGGCCACATCTCTCATGGCACCAATCTCTCATGGCCACATCTCTCATGGCACCAATCTCTCATGGCACCAATCTCTCATGGCCACATCTCTCATGGCACCAATCTCTCATGGCCACATCTCTCATGGCCACATCTCTCATGGCCACATCTCTCATGGCACCAATCTCTCATGGCCCCATCTCTCATGGCCACATCTCTCATGGCACCAATCTCTCATGGCCACATCTCTCATGGCCACATCTCTCATGGCCCCATCTCTCATGGCCACATCTCTCATGGCCACATCTCTCATGGCCACATCTCTCATGGCCACATCTCTCATGGCACCAATCTCTCATGGCCACATCTCTCATGGCCACATCTCTCATGGCCACATCTCTCATGGCACCAATCTCTCATGGCACCAATCTCTCATGGCCACATCTCTCATGGCACCAATCTCTCATGGCCACATCTCTCATGGCACCAATCTCTCATGGCCACATCTCTCATGGCCACATCTCTCATGGCACCAATCTCTGATGGCCACATCTCTCATGGCACCAATCTCTGATGGCCACATCTCTCATGGCCACATCTCTCATGGCCACATCTCTCTTGGCACCAATCTCTGATGGTGTCGTCGTGAAGACATTCTCTGTGAGCTCTTCCTCTCCAGTTCCTTACATTTCTACCCACAACTACAACAACAGCAACAACAACTACAATAACTACAACAACAACGACAACAACTACAACAACAACTACAACAACAACTACAACAACTACAACTACAACGACGACAACACGTTTAATGTCCCTGTTGTTGTCCATCCTACACGAGTGTCCACATCGTGCCAGTTTCCTTCTCATCACTGTCTGCATCATCATCATCATCACCAGGTCGTCTTCTTCTATGTGCAACATTTATCGTACTTCTACGTTGGTCACGCTTTGGGTCCAGCTCAGACGCAGTCTCCTTCCCGAGCAGCACAGTTCGAGTACGAACATCGTATCCCTGTCGGCCTCTTTCAATGTCCAAGTCTCGCATGCATACACAGCTGTCCTGAACACGCGTGCTCTTAACATGTTTAGTTTGGTCTTGCTGCTGATTTGCTTGCTTCTGCGGATGTTCTTGAGTCCTGCCCATGACTCCTTGTGCGGTCCTTGTCCCACGTCAGTAAGCGTGAACACAAATTCAATCTTGATTTGAAGCTTTCGTGACTGAAGGAATAAATACACTTTGGTTCTTTCGGTAAAGTCACGTAAGTATAGAATATATACAAATTCCTTCACACGTCAAATAACGCTGCAGCAATGGCCCTTCTATATTGCACATGAAGAAGGGTCATTGCCCGAAACGTCGCCTTTTATACGTGTTGTTATTTGTATGTGTTGTTATTTGTATGTGTTGTTATCTGTATGTGTTATTATCTGTATGTGTTATTATCTGTATGTGTTATTATTTGTGATGTTATCTGAATGTTGTTATTTGTGCATGTGCAGCACTGCGAACGCAGCAGCAACAGCTGTAAATGTCGACCCAATGGGTCCATTAAGCCGTTGAGAAGTCCATTGAAGCCACAATTTGTTGAAAGAGTTACATGGGGGGGGGGGGGGTGGTTGGGAGATCACGTGAACATTTCGCTAAACGTGTTGCTTTGTTGTTTAACTTGCGCAGTGTCACGCGGAACGATCCATGGGACATCGCTGCAGTTCGAGCTGCAGCCTGCAGATGGCAGTGACCACCCACACCGCGAACCGCGCAAGAGCTACGATTTTGGCCGTGGACTTTCAAGGATTGTTGTTGTTGCGGGAGTTGGCGTTTGCCTGGCAGCTCAGCGAGTATCAAGTTGACGAAGCCTGCTGACAGCGGCGCGAAACGTCGACACGTCATCGAGAAGTGACGTCATCGCCGTGACGCGCGCCAGGAGAAATTTCGTTCGCGCGGAAATTCGATTTCGCTAATCGCACCACGATGTAACACGCGTTTTGTCCTGGGTAGTAAGTGTTACTTTCGAATTGATTATGCCTCAGAAGTAGAGAAAATGTATATTATTCCCCACAAGCTTTGCTTCTGTGACCAGGACTTTATGTGAAGGAATGACACAAACGCACACCACGTTTTCTCATAGAAAATAGGCAAATTTCTAAATATCACTGTCCTAGTCACAAAAGCAAAGCTTGTGGGGAATAATAGCCATTTTCTGTACTTTTGAGGCATAAGCAATTATGAAATAACACTTACTACCCAGTGTTGTCGAAGACGCGCGTGTGCGTGTGTGTGTGTGTATCCACAACGTCAGTTGCGTGAAAGCGACGTTCGTGAATCGAGGGACACCTCGACAATGGTTGGTGAGAACGTGAGCAGAGTGCACCATGGACGCAGGCAGGTCTCATCCGCTGTTAGACGTCCAATGTTCGTGCGACATCGACTCTTGAGTTTGTAAGCAGCAGCATCAGCTTGAAACAGCGTCACGTGACGGGGCTGTCACCCTCACTGACATTCGGCAGATGCCCTGCATTGCCTTCACGCGTGCTTCCTGCAGAGCGAAGCGCAGTCCATGCAGTCTCCCGAGGAGAACTGCTCTCGTCGTTGGCCCGGCACTTTGAATTATTGCAATTAGTGATCACACTCCGTGACGTGACACGTGGAATCCACCGAGCCTGCGCCTGCACCCTGCTCGAACCGGAGCCGCAGGCAAATCGCGGGCGATGCTCTCCCTCCCGTGTGAGTGTGCGCGCGTTCCACTCGGCGCGTCTGCATTGCAAACCACCTTCACACCTTGCTGCAAGTGGGCCCACGTGTTTTCCGCTTGGGTGATTCGGAAGCAGCTGTTTACTTCGCCGATAAGCCGAAAGCTCGCGTCGAATCCTAACCACCTTAATCTCCTTCTCCTCCTCCTCACATATCTCAGGCCGCGTAGGTTAATTGAAGGGTGGCCTTGCTTCATCGTTATCATCAGCCATGATGTATACACGCCATACGTTGAACTTGTTTGGCACCATTCGTAAGCCAACCGTGCTAATCGGAGGTGCGGGATCATCTATTCAACTAAACTTATACGTATTCTTGGTTAAAGTCACGTAGAAGGGAAACAATAAAAAATATATATAAAACAATAAAATTCTCACGACTGCAACACAAGCAATCATCAGCAGGTGTGAAAACCACAGCAAGAAAATTTGAAAAAGTGGCGTTTTTTTATTAACGTTAGCACCACGGAGAGCGATTTGGCAGTTATTCAGATGGCGAGTCCATCTATGTTCGGAAAAGAGGAGGGGAGAGACGAAAATAATTGATGCGGTCTGAAAGCCACCGTAAGCATGAACAATCAATTAAGACCCGAAATGGTTTATAAAATCTTTTCAATGATTGCTAAGCCAGAATCCATCTTCTCGGTTGAAATTGTCTCTGTGTTTGTATATGTGGATAGCCTCATGAACGAATCTCTCATGGTAGCCAGAAGGCTTGCAAAGAACCTCTGTCTTGGAGAAGTCAATGTCATGTGAGCCTACTGAATTATAACAGTGATCTGCCACGGCCGAGGTGTTGGTTTCTACCGTGTTTTAGGCCTGCTTTGTGTTCACGAATGCGGTCCGAGACATGTCGTTTGGTTTCTCCAATGTAACTACTACCACAGAGGCAATTTATTTGTAGACGCCAGGGTACTGTATGTCCGGAATCACATCTTTTACAGACGGAACCAGATCACGGATTTTATGTAATGTGTTGAATCGGACCTGGATCTTACCGAAAGAACCAAGAATATGAATCCCTGCAGTCACGAAAGCTTTAAATCAAAATTTAAACTAAACGTGTTATTATTTGTTTCTTTCGGCAAAGTCACGTAGAAAATAAAATAATAATAGAATACGACGTTTCGGTTGCAACACAAGCAGCCATCATTAGGTAAGAATGAATGCTAAAACACAGACACTTGGTTTGTGTCTCGCTCGGTGTGTTTCTGCATGTGTGTTGTTTTCGTGTCTGTGTTTTATACATGCATTCTTACCTGATGATGGCTGCTTGTGTTGCAACCGAAACGTCGTATTGTACTATTGTTTGATTTTATTTTCTACGTGACTTTACCGAAAGAACAAAAGAGTCATTCCTGCAGTCACGAAAGCTTCGAATCTAGTTTAAACGTTTAATTTTATTTATTTTAGCAAGTAAAGCCCCACTGCGCTCTAATTCATAAA